TTTAGCGTTACGAATGGTTCTACTATTGTGAGTAAACCTGGTTGTATTGTGAGGTGGAATAAACCTAAGGCTCCAGCTGTTAAATTGAATAATAATGGCTCTTTCAATGCTAATAATACGGGTATGGGAGGTATCATTAGAGATCATAACGGCAAACTTCTGGCTATTTTCTTTGGCCCCCTGCTGTCTTGCTCTGTCCTGTCGGCTAAGCTTATGTCTTTGCTCCGGGGGTTAGAGATATGTGTGAATTATGGTTATCAGGTTGTCAACATTGAGGTGGACTCTAAACTTCTCTTGCAAGTTATTTCTGGCATTTATGTGGGTTGTCTTCAGGATTTCTACACGATTAGAAAAATTAACATTATCCTGGCTAATTTAACCTTTACTATTTCTCATGTCTTCCGTGAAGGCGACGCCTGTGCTGATTAGCTGGCAAAGTTTGGTGCTCACTGTGGCATATTTCTGGAGCATAATTTGAATAATTTACCTGTTACGGGCATGATTTGTTTGGATAAGTTGGGACTTCCTTATATCCATCATACTTGAGTTTTTTGGGTTTTATGTCTGTTAGTCTGTTGTGTGGGGGGTTATTGCGTCTCCCTGTTGTCTGGTGGTTGCCATTTATTTTATGTAGCTTTTTTATGTTTTTTTGGTTTGTTTGCGGGGTATTCTATTTGCTTTTTGGTTGTCTGGGGAGGTTCTGGGTGTGCCAGATTTCTTTCCAGCTTATTTTTTATTCTCAGTACATGAGGAGGGAGGTTTTTTGTTGCTATATCTGTTATGCTTTTAAGCTGAATTATTCTAGGCATTCTCCTTATGTGAGGAGGCTGGAGTTATTTTTCTGGGGGTATTATATGAGATATTGGGTATCTTTGCTGGTTGTGAGTTTGGAGGATAGGTTGCAGGTGATTTGTGATGAGAATTGGACCAATTATCAAATTTGGAGAGGGCATTGTTGGGCTGACTGTGCCTGGAGGGTTAACTGTGTAATTCTTATCTGGAGTATTTATGATATCTATTTTGTTGCTTTTAACTTACTTTTTTGGAGCTCTTCTTGCAAGTCAACCTGCTCAGTTTTTTTGATCATAAAAAGTTCATTGCATTTCTTCTTCAAGTTCTTTGGAATTTTGGTGTCCTTTTTTGCAGGAAGTGTGAGCTGAATGATATCTATATGACCTTCCTTTTTTGGGGGGCTGCCTGCTTGCAGCCCTAGCTTTTATTTTTGTTTCTATTGTAATTGTAGGAAAAGGGACCATCGACTTTTAGGTTTTCTTTTGATGTTTTTTGTAGCTCTTTGGAGCAGTAGCAAGCTGGAGGTCCCTTCTAAAGACTTTTGTAACAGTTTTTTTTTTTATATCAACGCATAGTCCCCTTCTGTGGGTTTAAACTAAAAAAAAAAAGTATGTGAAACCACACGATAAAGCATGACATCAATTTGGTTACAAAGCACTCTGATTTGATGGATTTCATTCTAGCAATCTAAAGTTTATTGAATTGTTGGGATTGCTTCACTTCTCCTATCTAAAGATAATCAAAGTAATTCGAGAGCATTTGAATCCTCCAAAGGATTGTTCCATTCTAGCGTGTTTTCAACTTCTTTCGCAAAAAGCCAGAGATCGAAGTCAACAATCTCATTAAATTGTGACTCTGATTTACTACAAATGCACATTTTTTAGTTACAAATTTTACTTTTTCAACAAAGCTATAATGTCCAAAGCTTATGGCAATATATATTTGAAGGAAATCTAATAATCCATCATTGCTTTCATATTTCACAAATACTAATAAACCATTATCACCATCCTCCATTTCTACAATATATTTCCCATCATTCCTCAATTGTTGCAAAAACATTCCACATTATCTATTGGAAAGTAAATATCTCTTGAATCATTTAAGAAGCTCCCATGGCCATTAGTTTTCAATTCCATTACCATTTATAAATAGTTCAAAATAATCAATGAATTCTAAAAGATGGAAGTTGCCTCTATCTGATTAACTCTTACAGACTAAGCTTTTTCGACACTATTTCTTTTAGTGTCTTCTAAGGGAGCTCATGTATCTCAAATAAAAACAATCATATCCAATAAAAGCAACCATTGATTTGAGGCGAATCCTATAATAACAATAATTAAAAGCTCTCTGTTAAGCATTTCCTGCTATAAGCATTCACCAATTTTATGTCAATTCCAACACCAATATAAATTAGATTATATCTTCAGCGGACAGGATTTAAATTTACTTCAAGAGTGAAATTTGTTTTTTTACAAAGAGATTAACAGAATCAAGCCAATGGCCCAAACAATCAGAGAGAAAAAACTGACAAATTATCCCTCTAACACATTGAATTAAGTGAACATAATACAAGCATGGTGAGAGTGAAGAAGATGAAATGAAACAGAGAATAGATGACTTAACATTTACAGGTATAACTAAAAGCAGCATTTTAAAAGTAATTGTTCTCTTAATAAAAAAAGTTAATAATCTAACAAGAAATAATATACGGTTAAAAATAAACAGCCTTGAGTTCAAATCACAAGTATGATACAATCAAAAAGAGTCAAATTAGAAGCTAAAGACCATTTCAAGATTCAGATTTAGTTTCTTACATAAAACATAGAATTATCAACAGCATATGGAACGCAAACTATAACTAAGAGACAAAGAAATGTCAGCGTATATCTTCTTATGTTCTATAGAATTATAGCTTCCAAAACATAAACGTACATAAGGCTTGAGCAGCGGTCTTTTTCCTCCTACCTGGTTCTGCTCGAAGAAACTTAACCACGCGCGCGAAGCCCGAGCGACTTCCGATCCAACAAGAGGAGAAGATGGAGAAGGAGGAATGGAAGAAGGCGAAGATTTCTTTTTCTTGGGAAGCCCTAGTGACTTCCGATCCGACATGAGAAGAAGAAGGCGAAGAAGCTCCCAAATAAATGGACGGGAGAGGAATTCCGGGAAAAAAAGGCCCGTATAAAATTTCCAAGAAACGGTTTGGCGCAAAAGAAAATTAAACAAAAACAACGGCCGCAAGATCGCTTATTGGCAGAAACAAATCACAGCATAAACATTTCGGACCCATTGCCAGGCCCGCGAATTTTAGCACTTAAATTTCGGACGGGCGGGTTTCGGATGGAATAATTAAATGTTGACCGAAAATAAATAATTTTAAAAAGTAATATTATTAAATAATTTATTTTTGAGGATAACGTTGTTCTTAAATAAATATTTTTTTTTTTTGGGACATTTAGGCCATTTAAGGCAAACTCACCACACACAACGCATACCACAAAAGACTCGAATCCAAGACCTCCTTAGTTGGAAGCATAAGCTCATCAACCAACAGGCCAAGTTGAGCTGTGTTTAAATAAATAAATTTTAACATTGTTAAATAATAGTTTAGAAAGTATTGTTTAATTAAATAATTTAAAAAATAATGTTTTAAAAAGAAATTATTTTTAAATAAAGTTTGATAAAATAAATAGTTTTAACGGTGTTCAATTAAAGCCTTTAAAAGTATTGTTAAATTAATAGTTTTTAAAAATTAAATATTATTAACTAAATAGTTTTAAAATAAATTATTTTCATTATAACGTTGTTAAAATAAATTGTTTTAACATTGGTTAATTCGGCACCATTATTTAAGTACATTTAATCACCAAGGTCATTGCGGTTACGTCTTAACCCACCTCATTCACAAAAAAGGGTTTTAGGTTTACAAAGTAAAATACTGTAAATACAAGTTTATAATTATAATAAATATAAAATAAATATTTAAAATGATTTATTAAAATATTATAGTAATTCAAATTACTTTTGTAATATTGGATTTTTCAACTATTTTCATCTTTCTCACCCAAATTTTTAGCATAAAAAAAATCTATATCAAAATTCATTCATTAATAATAATTAAAATTATATTAAAAGTCATAAATTTAATTTTTTAAAAAATTAGAATTCCATTTGAAAAAATTAAAAAATGGTCAGGATTTTGTTTGGACGGAAATTCAAATGGTTTTTATAATAGTAGTATAGATATGTAAAGATTCTTTAATGAAATAATTAATTAAGATTTATTAATTATTAACTATTGAAATTGTGAAATTTTAATATTTCTTAATGAATAAAAATTAATTAATGAATTATGTTATTAATTGCTTGGACTAATATAAATTAAGAATATATTGCTAATAAATATATTAATTAATTATAAATGAATATAAAAATAAGTACAATTAAAATTGTTGGCATTCCAACAATTAGCGCTTACTTAAATAGAGGCGTTAATAGTAACATAAATAGCATCATAGTTAACAAATAATAATTAAAAAATTTGATATCAAAATACATTCGTTAATCATAATTTAAATTTATATTAAAATATAGGAATTTAATTTTTAAATGTTAGGATTCCATTTAAAAAATAAAAATAAATGGTTATGATTTTGTTTGGAAGAAAATTTAAGTGGCTTTTATAATAGTAGCTGTAGCATAGATAATCATACATTTAAATATTAGGATTTGATATTCATCATAAATTTAGGGGTTATAATTCAATATGAGAAGAATTACATATAAATTTTATAATATTATTATATATATATGATAAATATTAATTGTTATAGTAAATATTAATTAAAAAATACTAAAAATAAATATATCAATTGATCATAATTGAATGTAAAAATAAATAAAATTAAATGCAAAATTGACTCTTACTTAATTGTAATTAATGTAAACAAAATGAAAAATATTATGCATTTAAATGAATAAATAAAATTAATAAATAAGTTAATTAAATGTATAAATAAAATGAAATGTTGAGATTCATCTTTGGTAAAATTAAATGAAAGGCTAGGATTGCATTTGGGTGGAATCACAAGTCAATTTTATATATACTAGGGATTCATTCAAACTGTGCCAAGCCCCGTGATTTTCCTCCTTTTCAGGGCTTTTCCACGTAAAAACTCTGATGTCTCTTATAATTATTATTTGATTGTGTTATGAATTTTCATACAATGCTAAGACTTAAACTATAAATTTCTATTCATAAATTACTTAAACTATAAATACGTATAAATTTAATATAGCTATATAATATGACATGAGTTTATTGTAATTTTATGAAATTATTTTTATTTTATAAAATTTTATGGTGCATTTATACTAGTAATTGAAAAAGGCAAAAAGCTTCTTACTTAAAAATCTGCATTCGCCTTTTAATTTCACCACCTAACTAGCAGAGCCAATCACAATCCTTCCCCTTGCCTTGGTGTTCTCCTCGTACGCCTGCGCCTACTTCCCTGACCCCGCCGGCATCGGCAACACCACCGCGCCTCCGCTCATCTCTATTTCCTCTGATCCTTCCCTATACTTCCCCCGCTGCAGCACCAGCACCGACGCCCTCGACCCGAAATCCGGCGATGCCAGCAAATCCCCAATCGGCCCAAGTTCCTCACACTCACTCCACTCCGTCAGCCCCGCCGTCAGCGGCGACGCCATCCCTTCTCCAATCCCAACAATATATAAATCATAACGCCCTTCCATCTCCCTCAGCATCGCCACAGTCTCCTCCGCATTTCCCACCATCCTCTCCACATACTCCGCCTCTCCACCACCATTCGCCTGAAACTGCGCCAAACACTCGTCGTCGTTCTCCCCCGCCACATCCACCACTCTATCCTGCCGTCGTCGTGATCCGCCGGCGCCAATACAGGGGAGGAAGCGCACGACGGTGAGGGCCACGCCGGGATGGGTCGCCAGACGGTCGGCGTATGCGAGCGCCTCACGGTCGTCTGCGCCGCCGAAGAACAGGAGCGCTACAGCGTAGCGCTGCGCGCGGGCTCCAGTTCCAGCGAGGCTGCGGTCGATGAGGATGCCAACAGAGCACGACGCGCCGGCGAGGACGTTCTTGTTAAGGCAGCGGATGGCTGGGTGGGTCACCTCCATAGTGCCGTCGATGGTCTGATGCTTATGGAAAGGGAGGATAATGAGGGCGCAGTGCTTGTCCTCGGAGAGGGCGATGACGTCCTCGTGCATAGAAGGGTATTGGGAGAAAGCAGTGAGGGATTGAACAGAGACGCCGCCGGCGTGTTGCTCGTAGGATTCAAAGGCGTGGGAGATGTGTTCGGATTCGGATTGGTGGCGGATGAAGCCGGCGCCGCCGGCGTTGGGAGCGGCGCGGTGGGATTCGAGGGAGGAGGAGGAGGAGGAGTTGGTGTTGACGACGAAAAGGGTGGAGGCGCGGCCGGTGAGCTCGACGAGGTAGAGGGCGTAGACGAAGAAAGGAGAGCGTTTGGTGGGGTGGGAGATGTCGAGGAGGGAGATGAGGGAGGGGACTTCGCGGGAGGAGTGGGCGCAGATTAGCATTCGGAGTTCGGATTCTGGATTCCACCACCGGATAGTGCGGCGTTTGTAGGCGACGTAGCGGCGGGAAGGCTTCGCGGCCACGTTTATGAGAGGAGTGATCAAGGTGGTGCTTATTACGGAGATTATCACCAAGATCGTGAATGTTTGATCTCGCAGCACCTGCAAATTTGTTAGTAATGGTAGATTAATTAAGATATATAACAACAATTAGTCAACATGACTTGGGGACATATAAATCAACCATGTGATCTAATTTTGAGCTTTATATATATAATTAAAATGAATTGAAAAATATTTTAGTTTATTTTAAGATTAGTATAATAAAAAATTATATATGTAATAATTTTAATGATTTAATAATCAAAATATTTTTATAAAAAAAACAATAAGAACAACAATAACATAAAGTTTTTATCCCACTACCTGAGCTCGACTACATGAATCTTTATTTTCTATATTGTGTCCTATTAAGAGTCAAATTCTAATTTATTTCTAATAAAAAATCATTTTTAATATTTTTTAACCAAATTTTTTAGATCTATCTCTACCTTTCTTTAACATAAGTCTAAACTAATTAAATAAATAAAAAAGTCTAAATGAAAAAAATTATATCATAATATCTCATCCAAAAAGAATTAAGATAAATCTTAAAATTCTTAGAGCTATTTTAAAATAAATATTACATTAACTATTTATATAATATACCCATATTAAAATAATTTTTAAAAATTTCACAGTATACCTCATCAAAAAAATTTTCTAGATAAAGTATTACTTACCATTTTGTCCCAGCCAATATTGAGCAATATGAGTTCAACAATCCCTTTCGTGTTCATAAGCAATCCCAGCGAGATTCCGTCGTGAAACGGCATCTCCATATAAAACGCTGCGAGCACGGAACCGGTGACCTTCGTGATAGCCGCTCCGATCACAACTATTAGCAACAAAAACACCGCGCCGGCGTCCACAATGCTGTAAAGGTTAGTCCTGAATCCACTAACCGCAAAGAAAAGTGGAAGGAGCAATCCTTCAATGAAATCCCCAATCTTCTCAATAAGCAGCTCGCCTAGCGGTCCATTAGGCACAGCCAACCCATACACAAACGCCCCAAAGATGGCGTGAGTCCCAATCGCATCCGCCGCAAACGCCGCCACCATCACCCCAACCAGAATCACGCACACGTGCAGCTCTGCCACCTCCTCTCCCTCCGGCGTTCTCTTCTGCACCCACCTCGCAGCTCTCCTCACAGCCATGTAAACCACGACGCTAAACACCCCGCCAGAGATCACCGACCATATAGCTGAAAGGGCTTTCCCTTTGCTCTGTGCCAGCGCGGTGGAAAACACCATAAGCACCCAAGCCAACCCGTTCGTTATCATCGCTGATGAGAGCACGAGCCGCCCAATATCGGAAGCGATCAGTTTGATATCGGCGAGGGTTCTGGCTAGCATGGAGAAGGAGGAGACGCAGAGGATGCCGCAGAGGAAAGTGACGAACGCGCCTCGCTGGGTCCCGTCTTGGATGCGGCTGTGGAGTATGATGCCGGCGAGCACGCCGATGAGGACAGGGCCGATGAGGCATACAATGGTGAGGAGGGTGGAACGGCGGCCGACGCGGCGCACGACGTCTGGATCGATCTCAACGCCGACGATGAACATAAAGAAGACGAGGCCGATGGAGGCCATGGAATCGATGACTAACAGGCTGCGCAATGGAAAGAAGGTGAGGGTGAAGGCTGGCACACTTCCCATCAATGTCGGGCCGAGAATGAAGCCACCCTGCAAACAGAGCATTTTTGCATCATTAAATAATAAGGAGATTTATATACATGTCAATTTATTTCATACTATTTATATATCTAATATCTAAAATATTTATATTATATGACTATCACCCATATACAACTTTAATATATCAAATATACACTCCTATATTTCATTCCTGTCGGAACCCCTCTATGACTAGGGGGGGAAATTGCCCTTCCTCAATATATATATATATATATATATATATTACTCTTATTTAGATTATTTTTAGTATTTATTACAAGGGTTTTCAACAAATTGCCCCCCTAAAAAGGTTTAAATACTATGGTCTATAAGCAATTGCTCTCAATATAATTAAATACATTGTGTGGATGTATTATTGTTAGGGAATGTGAACCAAATACAAAGAGAAATAGTAAATCAAAATTTGTTCCGGGGGCGCTGCCCCCGAAACCCCAGTAGGAGTGTTGCCCCTTGACCCCGCCGCATATATGTGAACAATTAATTATATGTTTGTCCCCTCTGAGAATTATGGTTGGTTCGGCCCCTGCACTCATATCACCTTATAAATTTTAATATTTCATTTCATGCACCCATATTTGTTATATGGGTGGTAGAGATGTAATATTATTGTTTTGCATGTTAGATATATAAATAATATGAAATAAAGTGGTATGTAATTAAATCTTCCTAAATAATAATAATAATAATAATAACAGTGTTAACATGAAGGAATAAATATAATAGCTGTTAATTACCAGAATCTCGGAGATGTAGCGGGGCTGGCGAAGCGGTTTGAGAATGAAGGCCGTGAGGCGACTGGTGAGGAGAATGATGATAAGCTGGAAGAGGAAGAGAGGAAAGGTGTAGTCAAGAGGATTTTCATTCTGAAGCATTCCATTTGAGGACAACATGTTTGCGGCGTAGCAGACGAGAGGGGCATCGGAAGAATTTTTGGATGCCAAATCTTTGAAGAATTGAGCGGGAGAGGAATCCATTAATCTGCTTTCGTTAGGAAAAAGAAGGAAACTCTGGTGCTGGGTGAATTGGAGGTGTGATGGACGATGAATCGTTTGCTTTGAATTGGCTATCTGAAAGGGAATTTTAATATGGTTCGTCGTTTTTGTACCGAGGAAATGGAGGTTGGTAATAGAGAGATGGCGATTGGTGGAAGAGAAGGGGAGGCGGAATGGTCAAATAGTGTGTCGTCTAAATTTGGACAGGTGGATCGAAGTCGTGGTCAATAGGTTTTTGTGGAGGGCCGACAGATCATTTGCGGATGAGAAAATTCGCATTTTCTTGGACTTCGTTCATTGTTTTATTAATTAAAATTGGAATTTAAATTTAGATTTAATATCTTTATATTATTTTAATATTATTGAATAAAGAGAAAAAAAGCTCTACTAACTCATGTAAATCTCAATCTCCAAGGATATTTCTTAAAACCCAAATCAAAAAAAAAAAAATTCTCATCAATGTAAAAGAAATCTTTGCTTGCCCAGATAAATTCTTGTTCATGCAAGTAGTACTAATCAATCTCCTCCAAAACACACAAGGCATTCTTATTATTCAATAAGGAAGGGATAAAATAATGATCTCAACTTTACATTTGCGCTTCAATAGAGTAATCTTTGAAATTACATCAATATTATTTTCTAAAGAATGAAAATTCCATTGTTTCTTTTACTATCATATTTAAAGAAAGGGTGACAAATCACTCTTCTAACTCCAAGAAGAATAGATAAACAAAAACAACCATCAAAGGAGTAGAATGTAACCACCATCAATTTTTGGAAGGAGAAAATAAGTGCGGATTTATGCTCTTCAAATTTCCATTGGAAAACATATCATAAGGTACCAATCATTACTTACTTGCCATAAGAAATTCATTCGATCGAATACACCATCGCAACATATATGTTTGTATAGCTAACGGAAAACTATTTGGTAGAATATAAGAAGCATTATTCTCAAAGACCTCATTATGAATGATAGTGACTAGCTCATTGGCTTTCAAACAATAGAAAAATTGATATCAACCATAGGATTTCTAATTAGCAAATAAATGAGAATTGAGTTGGCAAGGAAATTTTATAAGCAATAAAAGCAAATCTTCTTAATCTTGATAATCCTCATGCCATAAATTCATTCTCAGAATAATGAACTCAAACGATTCATCCAATATTAATTTCTGAAAAATGAACAAGACTCGAATGTTTGAAATCAATATATTGAACATGAACAAGACTCAAATGTTTGAAATCAATATACATATGGAAGAAATGAACAAGACTATAGACATTTCAAATATTGTATACAATATTAAATCATCATTCTTTATGTATTTATATAAGGAAATATTTACCGTTGTTTGTTTGATTGTGACTGAGAAATTCCATGAGCTTTTGGAAGGGGTAGAATAGGAGCAGCTCTCTATTCCCTTGCTTGGCTCGGTCTTCATTTAATGGCTGAAATTTGTAAAGAAACACTGCAGTAAATACTTTATGTTTAGTGCTATAAAAAATATATGCACTCCACGTACTCCCATCTTTATGCTTGCTGAAATTTGTGCTTATCATCCACATTTTGATACTGAAAAGTTACAGCAAAGCACATTGTTTGATGGTTGAAATCTTGCTGAAAATGGAGCAGATTTTCCCCTCTTGAACGAAATACCCAACCAGCAGCTCTCTATCTTGACCAAAATCTGCTATAGGAGCTGGAGTCGTATGGAAGTTTGCTTGGCTTGGAGACGTGAGCTGAAAGACTGATCCTAAGGTAAATGGCTCCAAGAGACATTGGCCGGCCCTAGCAGTTCTCCAAGAATGGTTCTCTCGTGAGAGATCTCCGGTGAGGATGATCGGGAGACCCTTTATCCAGGGAAAATTATTAGGTCCCGTCACTTGACCTAATTTTTCGTCCGGATTTCATGTTTTGATCTATTTTTTAAAAAAAATCAGCTAATAAATAATTTTAATTGCATTAAACTATTTTTTTGTTGAGTATTTGCAAAAATATAGCAAAAACCTAACAAATAGTATTTGTTGCTCTTTTGGTGTGCTTTTCAAATACTCATTAAAAGAACATTAAAAGAGCAGCTAATATGTAGTTAAAATTGTGCATTAGCTGTTCTTTTTCAAAAATATATCAAAAGCGCACTAAAAGCGCATGGAATCCGAACGAAAAATTAGGTATGATGACCGAAACTAATAATTTGCCCTTATCCAGGGCAGCTGCTTATGGAGAATGGAGTCATGGGGATATATCGCTAGGGCTTGCAATGTGAGTCACGGCTTGCCCTAATACTTTTTCTTTTTAAAACCTGAAGTATGAAGGGCAAAAATATGACGATCATACCCATGCCAACCCTTGATCCAATGACTCATACATGAGCGGATTGCAAAATGAATGATTGAAATGATTGGAACGAAATAATTTAATCAAATAAGCCAATTTAATTAAGTATAGAATTTGCACTAATTTGATTGAAAGTATCCAAGTTAATTAATGCCAATTTGATTTATGTCAAGATGAGATAGGTTATGTCACGTCGATCAAAGCCATCTAACTTTAAAATGAATACAAATTGGTCGACTCAATTCTACACGCTTGATTGAATTTGTTTGATAAAAATCGAACAAATTTTGATTGATGATTGATTGAAAACTTGATGTTTGAAACTTGAATTAAAACTGGACTGAAGTGTGATTGAAATATGATTGGAAAATAATTGAAGATTGATTCAAAATTAATCAAGTGTTGGATTTGGGATTTGATTGGGACCTATATAATTGACAAGTGAACACCTGTCGATCATTTGGTCACTAAAAGAAAACCCAGGTAGGTCCTAGCAACCTCATACAAAAATGAGATCAACATATGGGTTTGGAGTTTATTTAAATTAATTTGGGCTCAAAAGGGTTAAATGGGTCAACCAGGTTGACCCAAGGCAAGAGTCTGGGCCCAATGGGTCAAGTTTGAACAATGAATCCAATTGATGTAGGGAATTGATTGCAAGAAGTGTGGAATGGACTTAAAATCAAATGGAGAAGGTATGGGTCAATTTGGTCAACCGAGTTGGCCCAGGGCCTGGGTAGGCCGTAGTTGATCGGAGATCAAGGACATAAAGACCGTTGTAGTAGGGCAATACTCTCGTAGAACTCTGGACATCAGGTGTTGGCCCGACAGAAGTGTGGGCCTCAGGTGGTAGTCCGATAAAAGTTTGGGCATCAAGTGATTGTCTGGTAGAATTCTGGGCTTCATGTGGCGGTCTGGTGGAAGTCCGAGCCTCAAGTGGTTATCCAGCAGAAGTTTGGGTCTCAGGTGATAGTCCGACGAAAGTTTGGGCTTTAGGTGGTGGCCCGACAAAATTTTGGGCCTCAAGTGGTGGCTCAGCAGAAGTTCAGGCCTCAGGTGGTGGTCCGGTAGAAGTCCGAGCCTCATGTGGTGGTTCGGCGGAAGTTCGGGCCTCAGGTGGTGATTCAGTGGAAGTCTGGGCCTCAGGTGGTGGTCTAGTAGAAGTTCAGGCCTCAAGTGGTGATCCGGAGAGGGTGGGGGCCTCAAGTAATGGTCTGTCGGAGGTTAGGACCTCAAGTGGTGGTCCGGCAGAGCAACGACGTCAGACAATGGTCAAGAAAAACTCAGGCGGTGGTCGAGAAGAAGTGAGGAGACAAGAGCGATCTCTGATCTCTCTCTTGCTCTCTCGCTTGGAGCTCTATTTATAAATTTTTGAAGTGGCATGGCCCGTAAATAGGTGAGAGATCAAGGGTAAATGGGGAGTGGTTAGATGGACGGCCGATATTGAATCCCTTGATCATGGGCCGTTCGTCAGACATTTGAAGGCTTAATGATGTCGAAATTTGGCGATCTTAGACTCGTTGGATTTGTCATGTCGAGCCGCTTGATTCGACAATAAGCACGTATTGTTTGAAAACTGTTTGGTAATCCAAATTGTGGTTTGAACCTTTCAACAGCTCTTCAGTTCCTTGATTTGGACTCATTTGGGCTCAGATTGAGTCAAATTTGGTGTCGTTGGGTTCGTATTTTTTAGACGTTTAGTTTGACTGTAAGTTTACTAAAATCGGAGTTCAGATGGTCCCAATTTTAATTTTAGAAGTTTCCAACTTGATTTTGCTTCAAGATTCGTGCCCGATCAAGATAATTTTTTGATGACATATCAATTATTGTTAGTGAGAGGAAGATAATTCTAATTAGAACTAACCTCTTATCATAGAGACAAGAAAAAACATTCATAGCAATTGTGAACAAAATTACAAAAGCACATAGCTGTATCTCCAACCATTTTGAGAGTTGAAGTAGCTAGTGATTTCTCCATTGAGAGTGATAGTAGATAGAAAAGAGAACATTCATAATGCAAGCAGCTATCTAAGGCTTTGTTTGGAAAAGCTTTTACTATTTTTAATAGTTTTTCAATACTCAACTTTCTTTTTCAAAAAATATCTTGCGCTAATTAAATATATGTTTTATTAAGCACTACGAATGTTGTCCCAAATAAAGCATAATTTATGAAGTTCATGAGGAATCCTTCTTGGGAAAGCCTGAGCATACTAGAGTGTTTGTTGAAATTATTGAAAGCTTTCTTGAGATCAAGTTTAGCATATTAAACATTATCATGATTCCTTCATATTGAATTTATAACTAAATGCGTGGGCTAGGACAATGTTGTTGGTAATGCCTTTGCTTTTTTACAGAGGGTGATTTAGATTCTGTTTGAGACCGTTTTCTTAATTATTTGCATGGAAGCTTTTTAGTACAAAAATTATTAATTAAAAAAATATATATACTAAAAATTGCTTTAAAAATAGTAAGAAAGCTATCCTAAATAAAGCCGTTGTTGGACGAATAATAAAATAGATAACATATTTGAGACTATTTGCCAATATCTTTACAATGACTTTATAGAATATATTGCATAAGAATATGCATCTAAAGTTAGCTAAAGAATTTGAGTACTTCTATTTTGGAATAATGATAATAATAGAGTGTTTTATCATCTTTCATAAATTAAATTATAGACCAATTATATATTTATTAATTATTCAACATTTATCATAAGTAAAGTATGTCTTTTAAGATATGATTTGACAAGCTTATCTTTAGTCAAATTTAAGAGTGCTTAAGTTAAAAATAAGTAATCAGATAAATTAAGAATAAGTTCCTATAATTTTTTTTTACGTCTAAGCGACGCTAAAGTCTAAAGAGCCAACCAAAAAGTTCCTAAAAAAAAAACTCATAAAATAAATGAGGTCACGTCCGTAATAATATTCAAATATAAGGGCTATTCTTTCCAAAATAATAAAATATCGTTAATAATTTTTTTTTTCTAATTTCCTTTTTCCATTTCCGCAAATAGTCTTACGGCTTTCGGCTTTCCGCTTTCCAGAGAAGGATAAAACTAAAAGCAGGTCTTAAAAGCTGTAAAATTTTCCCAAAAAAAAAAAGCTGTACAATAATTTTTAATTTACAGGCTCCGTCTCCTCGTCTTGGAGCTCTATTTTCATTGTAGATCTAGTGAGGGTTTAACCCATCGCCGGAGAATCTTTTTTCTTTTTCACGGAGTTCCACTGTCTGAATGCGGCTCGCCACCTCGAAATTGCTTGATTCAGGCATGATTTCGAGCTGCGTGATGCGATGCTTCGAGCTGGTTTTTGATTTCTAGAAGGCTTTATCATTTTCTTTGTTTAATTGAAGTGAAATGCCTTCTCTTCTACCGCGATCTTCCTCGAGTAAGGAGCTTAGAAATGGGGATGGGAACGGCGGCGGCAGGTCGCACCTGTTCTTGAACGTGTATGACCTCACTCCTATCAACAATTACCTCTATTGGTTTGGGCTAGGAATTTTCCACTCTGGAATCGAAGGTATGCCCTCCTTCGTTATCTGCTTCTCTTCTTGGAATTATTCTTCTAATTCCGATCTAAATGCTTTTATTGCGATAATATTTTTTTTTGTTCTTTTGCAATTTCATCATGGCCTGTTAGTATACTTTATATTTTAACTTTCTGACGCCTTATTTTGACTATATTCGAATAATTGTCCAAATTTAACAATCAGATCAACAGTTATTCGCCAGACTATTGTTCAGTACTCTTTTGCAAATGCATAAGCGATCCGTTAACATACGGTACTTATCTGTTACGATTACATTTCTTTCAGCTGCCTGACTTTATTTAGAATTGGTGGATGCTAGAATATTCACAATTATATAGTAAGAGTTGTTAACATTCTAGTTTTGCACTAAAATCCCAAAGGATCTGATCACCCCAGGCTTTACAAATATTTCTCTTATAGGATAACCTATCCATCAATCAAAGATAACATAACAAAACTCGTGAAGATCACCTATGCTTTACTTGGGAAAATTATATGCATAGAATGGAGGAGCATCAAGTTGAATCCTTTAACTTTAGAGGAGATTAAACAACAGATAGCCCGATTACTTAACGATAGAGTTCTCTCAACACAAAATCATAGTAGCTCAAGATCTCCTTAGGAGTTTTCCCACCATAGATTTTCTTCAGAGGCTCAACAAATTTCAGGAGTAGATCTAGAGCTAATATGGGATATTTTTTAAGAGGTCTTCACTTCTGGCCTTTCTACTCTTTCTCTGATGCAAGAGAGTTCTTTCCTATGTTGATCTTGTCCATCAAGTAAAAACAAATAATTATTGACGAGGCTATCAATGCCCATCGTGCTATGATGCTGCTCGATCTTTATTATTAAGTCTTTTCTAAGAGCTGAAGGATTTGAGCTTGATGCTCCTCTATCATGTGCATAAGATCGTCAAGAATCAAGCATGGGTGGCCTTCACCAACCTAGGATGATGTGATCTTACCCACAAATGACATTAAACAGTGTGTGTTGGATCTTCGTACAAAGTTAAAACAAGAAAACTCTCATTTTATTGCCGCAAATATTCTAATACGCAACAAAACTAGTCTTTGTTAAATTGAACTTATAAGATGTTAGATGGCTTTGAATTTCACCTTCATTCTCTAGATGCTGCTTATCAGCTGGATCATCTAAGCTGAGCAACATGAGTAAAAGAGGCAAGAGAATTTTGGAACAAGTTTTGCTGAATTTTGAAGCGTTGGTAGATTATTGGGTATGGTTGCATGAAACCTCTTTTATATTTATATCTGAATAGTACCATTCAATTTATTTCTTGATCAACATTTTGAAATAAAATCTTTGAGGCTTTCCTTTCTTCTCTTTAAGCCTTTCTACATAAACTTGGTTTCTTATACTGATGGCAATATATCGCAATCCCATTAATTGCCATAATTTGTTAATTTTGAACTCTAACCTCTTTTGTTTCAAAAGCATTAATTACATGATTATTAGGCATTGCTAGTCATTTGAATGTCATTGCCTCTCACATACATAAGATAGGGATAAACGCCAGACCCTTGATAGCATGCGTAAGATGCTTCCCAAAGCTCCTCCAACTTTGTGTACACCAGCAGGCTGTGGGGCATGAAAATGATTTAAATTGTTTAATTGAATGCTGCGTACAGCCTGGCAGAAATATCCATGGAGTGTAGCTGTTCATTACTTTTCCACATTTCGCCATCTGAATAAGTTCCCACAATGATTGTTTTATGGCACCAAGCCAAAAGAGGTAATTGAAAGTATATTCATTCTACAGGTGATGCATACATGCAAACCAGTAAATTCCAAAACATCAAATGAATGGAACTAATTATCTAACCTTATTTGCCTAACATTTCACGGTATTATATCAGGTCTTTAATTTTAATTGCAGCGGAACTCCACAATCTTTCTTTAAACATCATAAAAGGATAAAGAGACCATTCATATGTTTCATCCTACTTTTATCCTGTAATGTAATGATCATGTATTCTCATAGTTTCTAACCTAATCTCTTCATGTTACAATTAAGCAGCAACAATTGACCCCCATTCCCTGTAGGTGTTTGTGCATTTATCCCACTGCAGCTAATCTATAGTCAAATTTATTCGGAAGATTCAAATCATCACATTTTAGGACTCATAAGAAAATGTTCAGTTTGCATAGAGAAGAATCAAAATCAGCACATTTACAGATTCATGAGAAAATATTCAGTTTGCACTTAGAAAATATATGCTTTGTAACTCAACATGAATAACGATCGGTTTATTAATATGCTTGACGGCTAAAACTCTTTTTTGGAGAAATCGTCACATCACATTTCCATTTTTGTTGGAAACACATTACAAAAAGTTGTGTATGTACCTCACCTAATACTTTCTGATCATGGAGAACACTAGTGGTGAAGATCGTTAAAATTTGATAAATTGATATAAAGAAAACAAAAATATATTTCATGCTGCTTTTGAGTTTTAGAACTTACATAATACATACAAGGGTAATTACTCATGGTTTTGGTCATTTCCGTCTATGTTGGGATGAAGGTTAAGGAATAGTAGGAGTTTTCCAATGAAAGAGAGAGAATTTTCTTTGAGACTATTCTATTAAGGTCGTGATCTTCTATATTATTCATTTTACTTATATCCATCAATTTTTCCTTATGCTTAATGTTCACAAATCCTTTAAATTGTGGTCTTGAGAGTATTTGTATTTATTTGGGCCTTAAAATAAATATATGTGCATGCATGCATGCATCTATTTATGGATTCTGAAAAGGTTGTAAGTTCAAATGGATTATGAAGAACGTCATCCGTATTTTCTGGTTTCTACAAAAGTTAGGTAATATCAACAAAAGATTCATAACTACTTTATTCAATCTAATGTTATCAAAAGTATTTGGCACGCTCAAGATAAAATGATTGCTTATGCTTGAGGCATTAGGAGACCCCGTAGGTGCTTGCTTGAGGTAAGTTATATTGATGAGGACTTCAGTAGGAGATTTTGACACGTCTATCATCGGAGGAATCGTAGATCGACGGCTACGATTCCAAGTCTTTATTTATGATGGATTTATATATTTTATTTTATTTATGTTCTGGTTTACCCGAGAGGAATTAGTTTATGTTGTAGCCCCAAGGGCATTTGAGTCTTTGTGTTTTTTTTATTTGAGGCCTATATATGATGGCTCTCCCTATTCTGATGGATGATTTTGATGAATGAAATTTTAGCTTTTTGTTTTCGTTTCTTAGTGAGCTATTGAGAGAAGAGAGAACCCTAAGAGATGGCCAAAGCAATACCCGACAGACGCCGGAAAAGTCCTGGCTCTCGGTTTACCCTTCCCCTTTCTTCTTTCCCACCCTTTCTCTTCACCAAGCCGCCGACCACCTCTCCTTCAACCCCATACTGCTGGCCACCCAAACTCCTCCCCTAGATTTCGGCCAGTCGGACACCTTCCCCTCTCCACCTCAAGCCGCCGGCCCCTCCTCCCATACCCACCCAACCATACGACCCCTAGCCTCACCGCAACCCCCTCCCTCCACTGAACTAGTCCAGGTCTTCCTCAAGCCGCCGGCCTACCAAAACCCAAGTCTAAGCTGTCGGCCCCTCCTCCTATGAATCCTTGTTCTCAAATTCAAAATGCCTCTTAAACACTTTCCTAATTTGTCCAATTATTAATTAGGAAAGTCTCTTAATTTTGAATTCAAATGAAATTTGAAATCCAAAATCTTTCTTAATTAGTAAAACTATTTTAGGAATCATCCCCAATCATCTCAAATTTGAAATTGAATTGAAATTAATTTCAATTTTCACATTCATTGAACCTAGATATATTCATTGAATATGGACAACCCCCCACCATTTATTGAATATGGACAACCCCCTTCCCCCTCCCTCTCTTCCTTCTTAATTAAATACCTTTCCCTTATTGCCTCCAATCAAAGCTCCATCAAGATGATCAAGGTGTGCCCCCCCCCCCGGCGGTCTAATTGGGGAATTCAAATTTCAAATATTTCCCTCCTTTCTACCCTTAAAAATCTGAAATTAAAAATTCAGATTTTTTTCTTCTCCCTTCTCTAACCCTAAAGCTGAACTTGGGACCTCTCTTAGTTTCTGCCGACCCCCCCCCCAAGCCCTTCTCCCGTCCATTACATCTCTTTCTTGCTTCACATCCCTATCAAGGAAGAAGATACGCTACTACTTAGCCTACTTTCCCATGAATGGTCGATCCCGAGCATGACCATGGATTCGTGTATGATCTTCACAGACGATTAGATATTCTTCGATCATCTTTCTTCGACCTCAACTTGGAGACTGATGACACCGTCGCGACTACGTCGACCGAATCCTTTTGACTTTGATGTCAGCCATTGACGAGCACCAAATCACCGGACAATGGCTAGTTATTGGACATCCACCGACTTCTTCCCCTCCCTCTGGCTAACTTCTCATTGGGCAATATTGCATGTGTTTGTTGTCTTTTGGTGGCATCTTTAAGTTTACTAAAATTATTCTTTCGTTAAAATCACCTCAAGAGTGAGCGTGAGAGGAACTCAAGGTAAAATTTCTATTTGTTAAACGGTGGATTTCTGTTTTTTATGCCTTTAGCTTTACTTTAACTTTGATTGTTATTTTAAATTTTCATGTTAATCTTTCTTGTAACATGCCAAAGCACAAACACAATTAAGAAATCCTAGAATCTAATTTGGTGAAACATTAATTTTAAAATTAGCAAGCTTATTAAAATTTTATTAAATTCCTGAAATTCCTATTACGTTTCACATCAGAGATACTATTTTTTTCTATTTAAATAATAAGAAATAGTTTTGAAAAATATAGTATATTAATCATCGCATTAAAAATACTATGAAATTCAAAGGATTAGACATTGTTAAGTATGATATGATGTAGGATCATTTAGGATATAGGGTTTATTTGTTGGGGATAATGAGTAAACACCACAATGATGAAACAAAGATGAAAATAAACGCAGCGAAAAAGTAAAGGTCATCAAGATTTAGCATGGAAAAACCCAAAATAGGGAAAAAAATTCATGAAGCCACACCACACCAAGAAATTCACTATGAAAATTGGAAGAAATAAATACAGATCTCTCTTCTCTCTCACTCTCGCCTTGCTTCTCTTCTCGCATGCACCGTCCTCACTCTTGCCCTAACTAAATATACAAGAGAAAGCCAAGAAAATAAACTCTAAGGGGCGCAACCCTTCAGAAAATGAGGAAAAAAACCGTCCAACCTGTCTCACATCGTTGCGACGCTCAAGCCTCTATCTTGCACCATTGTGACGACATATTTAGACAGTTGTGGCGCTCTGCTCTGTCTTTTAGCGCTTGGGCGCTCGGGAACACGGCGTCGGAGCGCTAGGATACATAGCGTCAGGGCGTTGTATGGGGAAAAAAATTTGGGTGCAAAGCAAGCAAGGGTAAACCCTCCGCACCCCTCAGCGTACACGATAAGCTTTGAGATTTGAGACAAAAGAACAACTCAATTAATCAATACAATCAGATTCCACACATAACATTATTAACGCATCATTGGATGAGATGTAGCCTTAAATTAATATGATCATCCAGTCAGTGCCTTCGTAGTGATGCCTTTCTTGAAAGCGTGGAAAGTGTTATGTTCTAGCATCGCTTTATCCGTGCTCCTAGACGAGCACATTGGTCATCATTGTTAACATTGGGTTAATCTCGGTTGTAGCTACTATTCATACTAATTGCAATATATACCATATAAAAAATTTCCAAAGGTTGTTATATAATTATTCATCTTGTTACAACAATCCCATTCATCTTTGTAAGAGTAGTAGCAACTTTATTTTGTAAGAGAAACAACTTTATCCTGATACAAAAATTGAAATGACTGATCTGTGTGCTTCTTCTAAGGCTAAGAGAGACGGTAAGTCCTGCCAATTATACGCAAACCAACTTTTATCAAAAAATGTGATATCATTTTCTCATTAACGACTTTGTGAAATGCTTTTAGATCTTTTGTCATCTTCTTGTAAATCAGAATGTCAAATGCTTAAAGATTATACAATCCCCTCCTCTAGAACATGTGAAACTAAAAAAAAATTTCCCCATTTAATTTAATTCTATAGCTTTGTTTAATTGATCCCTAGTACTAATTTAGACAAACCAAAACAGCTCATGGAATGGAGTATGGCTTTGGTGCCCATGAATACCCAACAAGTGGAGTATTTGAAGTAGAACCCAAAAGCTGCCCTGGTTTTGTTTTTCGACGTTCTGTGTGGTTGGGCGCTACAGATATGTCCCGTACTGAGTTCCGCATGTTCATGGAACAGATTTCTGGGAAGTACCATGGTGATTCCTACCATTTGATTGCCAAAAACTGTAATCATTTTACTGATGATGTTTGTACGCGTTTGACTGGAAAGCCAATTCCAGGATGGGTAAATCGGCTTGCCAGACTAGGTAAATATTATTTCTGAAGAGTTTCTCAGTGTTTGAAATAATGTTTTTCTTAACTTTTTTACCTTTGGAAGCTTCAGGTTCTTTTTGCAACTGTCTTCTGCCTGAAAACATTCAGGTTTCAGCTGTCAGACATTTACCAGATCATCCAGCATTATCTGGTAAGTTTTCCACATTTCTGGTTTTCATTATTTTGGTTTAGGGATAATCATGCACTCTGGTTCATGTACTTTTAGTTTGCTTAATGCAATTTTTATGTACTATGTGCGGTTCTCCTCTTAAGATTTGGTCGATTTGGTTGTTGAGGAATCTCTTGGTGAAGTGGATAAGTACTTATCAACTTGCATTACCTGCTTTTCTTCCTGTTCAGATTATATCAGTACAGGGATTCTGAAATACCTCCTTGCATTGTGTTTTTCCTTTTGCCTTCGTTGGTACACATACATAGATTGTTGGGGGAGTATGTTTTTCAATTAAAATAACCCTCATTTGTTCCTACAATTCATAAGATTCCTTAGCTGAAAACATCTACTGTATTATAGCTGGTAAGATTATCCTTTCGAAATCTATTTATGAATATAAACAAAAACTCACTTGGTGTATGTCTATGTGGATTCCAATCCCTTCCAGTTCAAGGTAGTGATTTTTGGACTTCTCGTTGTTTTGTGGTGCTGGCCATTCTGAGTTCCACCCAGCCCACAGTCCAGTTGGGTGTCACTTAACAGAAAAGTGTCTCTACTTTATCAGTCACTCAAGTTTTTGAATTTGAAAGTTCATCTTTAAAGATCTATTTTATTACTTTCTATTATAAATTCTTACAATGCTCAACTGAAACTAGGCTTTGTTTGGAATAGCTTTTTTATTGCTTCTTAAAGCAGCTTTCTAGTATAAAAATTTTAATTTTTAAACTAGAAAACTGCTTTAAGAAGCATTAAGAAAGCCGTCCATAACGAAATCTAAGACTTCATTTGGAACGGCTTTCTTACTACTTCTAAAGCAGCTTTCTAGTATAAAAATTTTATTTGTTGTACTGAAAAACTGTTTTAAGAAATAGTAAGAAAGCTATCCCAAACGAATCCTTAGACTCATTGACTACTCAATTTGAACTTATACAACCTACAGATGGTACATGCATGAAATTTGTGAAGTTCTAACCATTAACTTTTCTTTTGATGGTAAAAAAATAAAAATAAAAAATGCCTACTAGAAGATGGATCAGAGTCATTTGCTTCAACCTTGGAGGAGAGTGACGATGAAGCATCAGATCATTGTCTGCTAGCAGCGCCCATTAGCGATCCAACGCATTCAAGAGAAAAAGCATTAAAACTGGCCAAAGATAACATGTGACGCCTTCATTTCACATAATCACACAGTTCTCTTCTTCTTAATTTCGGATCCTTGTTCTTTCCTTAAAGCTGGCAAGTGATGTGAAGGAGCCTACCTGCAGTTGTTATAGAATTGCAAATTTCTGAAAGCATTTGTAGTAATTTGAAGTTGGAGAACTGACCTTTTCATTTATTATGCTTTTCTTTCCAAGTTTTCCAAATGTAAAGGTTTGAAATCTAAAGGAATCTGAGCATAAATGTTGGAGAGGCTAAGGTTGTGTTATTTGATAGTAAAAAAAAAATGAATTTGCTGTTATTTGTAATTCGAAGTCTGAGTGGAAGACAGGTTTGGTACTCTCAAAGCTTTGAGTGTAATGTGAATGGTGCTGTGGGCTTTACTGCTCTACTGTGGTTTGGAAGATTATATATACTACATCAGATTCTGCAAAATAGTGATTTTATTTACAGAATACTTTTTGCATTATTGGGACTTACACTGAATTTGGACCTCAATAGATTGAAAAAATGATTTGGTTATTCTGCCTTTAAGATTAGTCTTAGGCTTCATTTGAGATGGTTTTTTTGCTGCTTTTTAAAGTTGTTTTTTAGTATAAAAATTAATTTTTTACTAAAAAATTGCTTTAAGAAGCAATAAAAAAACTATTCCAAATGAAGCCTTAATCAACCCACCTAGATTATTGCCATGTGAGATGATGAGATGGCGAAGCGATTGTGTTGATCTGGCAGATCATTGATGTTTTTGATGTTGCAAGTGCAGCAAAGTTAGCAGATCAAAAATCCAATGATCAGTTGTCTGACATAAATTTGGGCATAGATCCTATTTTAAAGCTTTCATGCAATTTTGATATGGATTTGCTCGTTTTGAATGATGCAAGCAAAAGCTTTGACAGTTTTTCAAACAGTTGTCTGTGGGAGTCAAATTTTTTTAGAAATATTGGGATCAAATTTAGGGTCGATAAAAAATTGCGATTGAAATATATTAATTTGTGTAGAAATCTTTTCATTTTGAAGAGAAATTTAGTGTTACAAAATTATATATCAACATCACTTAGATTTTGTTTGAGATGATTTTTTTATTTCTTCTTAAATTAATTTTTTAATATAAAATTATTTTTTTATTAAAAAATTGGTTTAAGAAACAATTTAAAAGTCATTCCAAATAAAGTCTTAGCGAAGGCTTTAGTGGCTGCATTGGTTTGTGTATGTTATAGGAGATGGTAGTGAATCCGACACCTTTTTTTTTTTTTTTTTTTTTTTTTTTTTACATTTCGGTTTGAAAAGAATTCTGATTCACGTGGTTTTTAACCTTTTTAGAAACTTCTCAATGAAACACTGATTTGGAATATGAAAAAGCAAAATTTGAAGTTTATTCCAACCTTCAAATAACTATTGGTAGCTTTTACTTCTACTTTTGGCTTACTTTTTAACGCTATTAATAGTGTTTGAATGATTTTAATGTAATTGAATTTCTTTTCAAGATATACATTTTAAAAAATAATCTTCTAAAATAATTCCTGAAGCATTCAAATTAAGTGTTTTTAAGATAAAATGAATAAATCATTTTTTTTAAATGTGTTAGTAGTTTTTAGACCCAAAAATAATAGTCAATGACGCATTGGCAGATCTAATATCTAAAAAATAGTTATATAATTCAATTAAAATGAAACATATTAGACAAATGTATGTCTTGAGAATTTTTATTAGTTCATTTAATTAACTGAATACATGACAAAATTGAGTTTTTTTTTTTAAAAAAAAAAATTTAAGTGTTAAATGCCATTTTCCTCTCTTATCACGTATGGACGACATTTGGCATTAAACCTTACGTATTCTATAATTGATTGACCAAGATCAGATAAAATATATTGATAAAAATTATAACATGAAATTAAGCCATTAAATTCATTTTAAAATTAATATAAATTATATATATATATATATATATCAAATAATTTTATCTACATTATATCATTATATCCTGAATTTTTATGCCAACAATTGATCGCTGGCAAGAGATTTGATGCCAAGCAACATAAGCAAGAATATTTAATTTTATAAAGTTGCTTTCTAACATAAAATTTTTAATTTTTGTACTGTAAACTACTTCAAGACACAATAAGAAAGCGATATCAAACAAAACCGCAATAGCATAGGCACGAGTTTCTTGACAAATAAATCAAAGACAGTCATATAAGGAGAATCCTACGATAGCTTACATACTATATACAAAAATCATCCCAATAGGTAGACAAACATTTCTCCATTAAAAAAAAAAAAAAAAAAACTGATGGAGCAAAATTGTATTCATCCAACTCAAGTTCATATTTTACCCACCCAAAGGAAAAATTATTATATGCAGACAACGCACATAGTTCTATGTGTAGATTATAGAAATTAATAGTTGTGTACTCTCATTGCATTAAGTACACATCTATGAACTTACTGTATACTCCAACCTAATGACATATATGGGCATAGAGCAGTAAAAAAAAAATTTTTTTTTTTTTGGGACATTTAAGACAAACTCACACACACAACGCATACACAGACTCGAACCAACGAACTCTTAATTGAAAGCCTAAACTCTCAACCAATAGATCAAGCAGAGCTGCGTACAGTAAAAAAACTTTGTACTTCAAAAAAATTAGAGTACACAGCTAAGTACTCTCATACTCCGCACATAGAACTAAGTAACCTATTAATCAGAATCATCATCAAATGAGTCAGGCAGAATACTATCTAACGCAGCACAGCAGAAAGTATCTTTGTCCTTCAACAGTAGACGACTTCCATCTGCATTCCATTTTAGCTCATAGACCACAAAATGTGGCAGTGGAATATTAACACAGTACGCTCCTGAAGGACTCCACATGTACAGATGGGCACTGCCAGTGCACAGAACAAGGCGGGGGCAATTTGGATCCCAGGCAGCAGCGCGTATTGGCTCTTTCTGGATTATGACTGCAGCAAGCTCAAGATGGCGAATATCCCATATCCAAAGAACATTAGGCATGCTATCATTGCGGCTGAAGAGATACTGGCTGTCATTGCTCCATGATAATAGACCTGACAGATTTTTCATATGGAATATTTAGATTAAATTTACAGAGTCGTGAAGTTGATGAGAATGATGTAAACCTGATTTCATCACATGAAAAAAATAAAAAATAAAAAATTAAAAAGAAAAAAGAAAAACTATGTAAAGTTGTGGAGTTTAATTTTTATCCTACCAAGAATACACACGACTGACCACGCAAACCTTATCACAAGTCGACTTTTATAGCATGGTCCGGAAGAATTATTCTGTGCGCACGCCGGAAGGCGTCCGGAGACTAATCAGAATGCGCCACGTCACTTTTTTGCTCGGTACCGGTGCTCGATACTGCTCCGTACCGTGTGACGTAGCGCATTCTGGTTAGTCTCCGGACCGTCCAAAGGTCTAAAAGAGGGCATCTTCTTATTTTTTTTAATATAAAAAGAGGGCATCTTCTTATGCTTGTCTAAGAGGAATTAGGATTATACTTCTCTACAATAAAATTATAGTGAAATCTAAAGACAGTCATCAATTGAGTGTAGCGATATAAAATTTTGATGTTTTTGAGCATTGATCTCTCTTTTTTTTTTCTTTTTTTTTTTGTTTACTATTTCCTAAAATCTAACTCATATCATGCTCTAACAGAAGTTAAATTTTGATAAATACCAATAACTCATAGGCACAATGCTAGTTTGCCAACAAATTCACCTATTATCTAAAGGCATAACATCCATACGAGATGGAAGATTAACTATTGGAAAACGATTGTAATCATCTTGAGCATTAGGAAGATTAACACTGGCAAAAGCCCAGCTTTAAGATCTGCCGATTTTTACTATCAAACAAATATAAAATACAACGAGGCGTTTATAACAGGTTCAAATGCAAACAAAATTCGAATATGAGAAACCAACCGATGCCTTGTTTTGGATTAGGCTTGTCTATTGCTGGCTTTTGGTATGGTAAACTAATGGGAAGACACATTAATTTGTACTTAACTCCAGAGCTCCCCTCAGCAGCGTTTTCTGAAAGTGGCAACCAGAAGATTGGTTAGAAGATATCCAAGGAGAAAAATTGCATCAACATACACATAAAAAACAGGATAAAAATATGGCAATATACGTGTTTTTTTACCAATAACTTAAAAACTACTGCGAAAACAATACTAACTGTATTTTCCCACACCATGACTTCGTTTAGCTCGGCGTTTTTTCATAAATTTGCACTTTGCCGTCTTATTCTGCTATATGAAAATTCGTACACGTTCTCAAAGAGATGGGCGCGCTACTCAACAAGTGCTTTCTCCATTCTCTATAATTGTAATGCGATAAGTGTCTGGATGCATGGGTTTTAGCATTACGTAATGTTTCCTTAAGATCAAAATTTTTATTCGGCATATTTTTGAAAAGAAACGCAGAAGCATTGAATCAACAAACAAAATCCTAGTCATATAAATCACATCCATCAAACCTTTCCAAAATATCTCTCTCCATCCATGAGTTTTTTTCTCATACATCCACGACACCCACCATCATAAAATCACATCATAAATCAAATCAAAATTCAAAATAACATATAGAAAGTTACATGATAAAAAAGTAGTTTGGTATATTGTTTCACTAAATGGACTACTTGCGTGAGTGCGGTTCTAGGAGAACTGTGGGCTATATTGTGTCTGTGTAGGTGATGTGCATTGCAGGAGCTAGTGGACTCCTGCGCATCAAATAGAATCCTAGCTATGCTTTGGGATTGTATGGAAAGCCCTGATGGAGCATGACCAACAAAAGGACACAACTTCGTTGGATGTGGAATATAATTCCCTCAACAATTTTAACAACCAAGTTAAAACTTACTACATGTGTTTATTACTAGTATTTTTCATGCATTACTAAAACTACAACTAACCTCTACCACTACAAGAAAGTTACCTTTTTGTGGCGGAAAAATCCACCGCAAAATAAGAAAAATCCGTCGCAAAATAAGATTTGCGGTGGAAAATAATGAGGCGAAAAAAGTGGCGTAGATTTTGCGGGGAAAAAAAATCTGACGCAAATATTTTTGGCAGATTTGCGACAGACTTGCACAGGAATTTCAACACAAAAAAAAAACAGAAATTATGGGCTTGCTGCCCGCTACCCACGCTTGCTCACTGTCCGAGCCTAACCGGTTGACCAATGCCCTCTCCTCTCCCACCTGACCGCGCCTAATCGACTGTCCGTTGCCCTCTCCCGCCTGACTGGACTGCCTGCACCATATCTCGCCTAACCGGCCTGCCCGGGATTCGAACCTGCTCCACTCGTAAACCAACTCCCTTCTCCCACTCAGTCATGGAGACGAAACGCAACAAAAAACTTTTTTATTTATATTATAATTTAGCTTACGGTGGATTTGCGGCGGTAATTTCCGCTGCAAATCCGTTGTAAAAAAATAGTCGAAAATTTTCGTTGCAAATCAGGCAAATCAGTCGCCATTTTCGACAAAAAAAAAACCACTGTAAAGTCTGCTGCAAACTACTGACTTTCCTGTAATTGTGTAAACGAGTACAATCAAGTCGAGTAGTTGCCTTATCGAGAGCTTAACTTGTCGGTCAGAAAGTCAGCTCGAACTCAAGCTAGTCCCACTGTAAATGAGCTCGAGCCGGCTCGCAAGTCTCGGCGGGATTTTTTTAATATTATAAATTATTTTAAATATTTAATTTTTATTTTAAACATTTAGTATTAATTTTAAATATTAAATATTAATTAATTTTTATATTATTAAATATTTATTATTATTATTTTATATATCGAGCTCAGCTCAAGCCGGCTCGACTCACTTACACCACTACTTTCCTGTAGTATATGACTACGAATAAATTATCTAACATCTATAAGCTTATTACTTATCATTTTTAAACATTATATAAGAAGATAGTTGAATATTGAAGATCCTCACCAATTCTTCTCCTTCATTTAGCCAACCAAGTGTAGAGGCGGAAGCTAGAGAGGTGGTTTTGAAGTGATTGGAAGAGGATAGTTATCTTGGTCAATATTATCCCAAGGGATTTCTTTATTGGGTGATCGACAATGAGCACTAAAGCTTAAGAAGTGATATTTGGAAGCTAGAGATCTTCATGAGAGGAAATCAATGACTATTGCGAGCCAGCAATAGATGAGGTGATTCGAAATAAAGAGCGACAAGCTTTCTTTCATCTTCGATGAGCATGGTTGGTGAAGAAATCGTGCTTCAATTTTGGAAGGGGGGTAAAAGAGAAAAAGAGGTAAAAACACTAATGAAATAAAATTAAAAAATAATTAGGTGAACAAATATTTCATATCCAAAATTTATCTCTAATCTAAAGGAAAAATCATCTCTCTACGATTATAGACAGGCAAACTTTTTGTTGAACCACAAATTTCTTCTCCTATCGCTAGTGTTCTTCCATGCAAATTATGATTCCCTCTGTCTCATTACTTCATTGCTCCCCCAAATGCACGCTTTTGAGCAATGAAGTGTACAAAGATGGTACGGTGAGGATCAACCATTTTTATGGTAAGGACTTCAGATATTTCAAGAAACAAAATGAAAGATTACTTGTGCTAAATAAATTATACCTATCTTTTTCTAAGTAGAAGCCTACTAGAATGAGCCAAGAAGATGGTGAATCAGGTGAAGGATCTTTGTTAGATGCTCTGGATATTGAGAGTAGACGAAGAAATGTTGATGAGGACATCAGAAGATCAATGATCTACGGTCACGATCTACTTTTGATTATTATTGTATTTGATGTATTTTGTTTTATGTTTTATGAGTCAAATAAAAGCAACATTGAATACTAGAAGTGTAGCAAAGCCGGCCTCATAAAAAGGGTTATGAAAGTTGCGAGTGATGATAACAACAACATCAAGCCATTGTCCCATTTTGTGGGGTCAGCTACATGAATCATTTTTCGCCATTGTGTCCGGTTAAAGTCAAATTCTCATTTAAATCTAATAAAGAAATATCATTCCTAATATTTTCTAATCAAGTCTTTTTAGGTCTACCTCTACCTTTCTTAGCATAAGTCGAATCTAATACCTCAACCTTCCTAACCAGGTCATCGGAAGGCCTCCGTTTAATGTAAGAAAAATAGGGGCAATTTTTAAATCAAACGAAGGTACATGCAAGTTGCGAGCAAAGATACCTATGATACATTGATCCATAGTGTGGATAGTCCTATGGAGTCCAAAATCTTGAACGCAAATGCACATTTTCATTATACTTCACATAAAGCGTTTATTTCTAATTATTCTGCAAGAGATTGTGGGAACAAATATATATTGTTGATGGTGAACTCTCGAACATTGAGAATTTGTGAAGCACAAGTCAATATTAATAATGGGCCAATGTAGAAATATTCGATTAGAAATCTAAATTTTTACAACTAGACTAGGCATTGAATTGATGGAAGAAAAGATTCCAAGTTTGAAGTTTTAACTGGGATTCAATTAAGGATTAAAGGTTGAGCAATTCAACACCAATTCGTGGAGGATCCCGATTTCCTTCAAACCAAATTTTTTAATCATACCAAACTAATTTGAGGACTAGTTTGAGTGGTTCAACTGCCTGGTCCAATTTAGTTTGCACAATATTGGTGGTGAAAACAAGGATATCACCATGTACACAAGATCAAATAATAGAAAAAAGCAGCAAATTTTAAATCTGATTATCGATGAATATAGAGGAGGAGCGATGAGGAATAAAGTTTCAATTAACTTGAAGCTTTTGAATCATAGATAAAAATTATATGAAAAACAATATTTTAGGGTTAAAAAGTAGAAAGTTAATAAGGCAAGCATGACATATTATCATTTGTAGACTAAGGTACAACAAACTATCAATCAAACCCTTCGGACGACCAAGATTTGAGGCGTGCACCTCTTATTTATTGCGTAGAGGCGTATCTTGATGTACACCTTAGTCAATGTACACCACATCAAGGCCTCCTTGAGGTATAATCTCACCCATAATTTTCTCAAAAAGTGCAGAGGCGCACTGTTGACCACGTTTTTATCTTGATTTTTTTCTCGAGCAAGTTCGATCGAGTTGATCGAGCCTCGTCGAGCTCGATTCAATTCGAATCGACGTCAATTTGAGTTTGTTTTTTATTGAATTAATTTGGGTAGAGTCAAGTCGAACTCGAATTGACCCGAATTGAGTTTGATACTTTGATTTGAACTTGATTTTAGCCAAATTGGTTCAGTCTAATCCCAATTGAGGCTTAATTGACTTTATGAGCGATTTGAATCCACGCCTAAATCAAGAAGTCAGGTTCGACGATCCTGATTTCACCAGGACCTGGAACCTGCTGTCGCCAGAGCTTCCTAGTCGCTTGAGCTGCTTATTTTGGAGCGGATGCAGGCATCGTGTGAAAAACGACATAGAGCAGTTGCTTGTTTAGTGTATAGAAGCGAGGGGTGACCTCTCCTTCCCATGGAGTTTTCTCTCGAGAAGCCCAACCGAAGTCCAGAAGACCCTCCCCCCCTTGCTCGCTCTCTGCGGTTGGCACCCTAGAGGCGGAACTCCCTCTCCTCTTTCTTGTGCGATGGACAGGACCAGAAGCCCTCGCTCTCCCTCCGTCTCCCTTTGGTTCGCACAACACTAGGAAGCCGCAAGCATCTTCCCCTCTTCTTCCTTCGGTTTGCAAACCCCAGCCAGGCCGACGACCTCTCTCCTGTTCGACTCCGCCTTCAGGACCAAGCCCCGATCTCCCCTCTCCGAACTCAAGGCCGAACACCCCGCCCCCTTTCGGTCGCCTCCTCTCCTTTCTTTTCCGGACCCGACACCTACTCGCTCTCGGTCTCCCCCCTCCTCCTCGACCTACCATTACATCATTTACTCTCAAGCACACACTATTCCATATTAAGCTTAAATTCACTAGAGCTCACACAAGCCAGTTTCAACTTAATGGGCTAAAACCCTAATTTAATCAGATGAAAGCTCCATCAAGCAGCTAGATTGTTCAAGAAATGTGAGGAACATCCCAGAAATTCAAGATAGGAATTTCTTCTTCAAGCATTATAGCATTTCCTAGTAAACCACAAGCAAATAGCAACAAAAACCTTCACCCATTAACATATCAAAAACTTCACCTAAATATAACAACAAAAAGAGAAAAGTTTTGCTTAAGCATTTATTCATTAAAGAGTCAAAATGATTTCTTTGTCTATCACACATTTGAAGAAAATTATTTAAGGAGTATCTAGAAAAGAACTGACCATGATAGTTGCCTTGTAAATTTTTGGGGAAATCTTTGCTCAAAGATAATTCAGACATATCAAGTTGCCAAGGTTCATCCACTTCCTGCAGGGTAAAGAGAAAAATAAGAAGTATCTATCTTGCTTAGGAAGCCAATTTGTAATATAGGCTCTTTACCTTGAAAATAGCAGCATCGCATGGCCCACGAATAGTGGGTATATGTGTGAATTCAGCAAAAAATTTCCATGTCAAATGATTCAATAACCTTAGGGTCTGATCGTAACTACCCACTGCAAGAAACTGTCCACATGTGGACCAAGTTACAGTTTTCACACCTAAACCACTTTCATATGCTTGATACTTGAACAAGCATCTGCCATCTGGAGAATAAATGAGAACCTGTACCATACACAATACTCCATTATTTGTATTTCAGATAAGAAATTGGAAGTTATGTTCAACATATTATAAAATCTCAAGTATCCATGACACTAGCAGAATTGTTATCAAAAAAGGTAGAAATATGGTTTTATACTTTTACATGAAAGTTATAATGGGATCCTGAAATTATCTTAATCAGGAAAAAGATGCAAATGTAGGAAATACTACCACATGATGGTGATTCCAATCATTCTGTACAATTAGCCTGCCTATAATATCCTCCTTTACTGATGGTGTTAGGAAAATATAACAAGTACAATGGCGTTGTGGGCGTTACAAGCAAACAACTACATTAGGATGCATGATAAACATATAGCACTTAACATGTAGTACTCCATGGCAGTAACTTGATGATGCTGTTGTCTATGAAGAACAGAATAAAGCTCAACTCATCACTAATTTGAGATAGAAAGAGTAACCTGGAATTAAGACACTACGACCAAGGTCTCTTGCCTATTCATGTAATAGAGCTTGTACAACATACCTTTTCCTTTGGTTGTGGTGAGTCAAACCATGAGCAGATAGGCCAGTTTTCTCAACCAAGACTGGAATTCCATCCGTGATCAGTTCAATACTTTAATATATTGAAGTCTTAATTGAGTTCAAATTCAATTGATTTGATTTAAACTGCTCAGGAGGATTGAACTCCAACACTAGTCACTTTAGTTTCAGAAATTGAGGACCAAAGCAAAGGCTTAAAACTGAATGACTTTAAAGAACCACTTAAAGACAATTAAGCAATAACACTAATCACTTTAGTTTCAGAAATTGAGAATCAAAACTAGATTTAAACAAGTGAAATTAAACTAGTCAGATCTGATAGTTACTTTCCGTTAGTTGTTAGGGTTGCCAAGGTTAAACCCAAAAAAATTCAAAACCTTTAACTCTATGGTTGACCTCTATAATTAAAGTTTATCTTCAACTCCCTCTCTAGTCTCATCAACAAGAAGAATATCATCAGCAAAAAGCACAAACTAGGGTACAACCTCTTGCAAAGGTCTAATAAAAACATTCATGACTGAGCAAAAAGATATGGGCTTAAGGCTAATCCTATAAGTAATTCAACTGAAATAGAAAAATAATTAGTCAAACCACCTTGTGTCTGAACGCAAGTAACAACTCCTACAAACATATCCTTAATGACTTGAATATAAGCATTATTAACCCCTTTCTTTCCTAGAACTCCCCATAGCACTTATCTAGGAACTTTATCATATGCTTTCTCTAAACCAATAAATATCATATGTATACCCTCCTTATTCTCTCTATACATCTCCATCAAACCTCTCAATAAATATATAGCTTCCATAGTAGACCTACCCGGCATGAATCCAAATTGATTTTGAGAAACATTAGTATCATGCAACAATAAATGGTCTTACCATGCAACAAAAACACAATAAATGGTCTTACCATGCAACAAAAACACAATAAATGGTTGAATAAAATTATTCTTAAGATTTGTAATTCCCTCTACTTATGGGATTCAATTCCTTAATCAAGTGAGAGATTTGAGAAGTTCCAAGAAAGGTTATATCATTGTAAAAGTTTGAGTGTGCTTTTTTATTTAATTCTTTCACTTTTTTTGCTTTTTTCGTCGAAGTTTAGTAACTTTAGTTATTATTTTATAAGAGTGGTTGTGTTTAATCAAATTGGATGCAATCTGGTTTCTAATAACTGCATGAATTTCAAAACCTTTGCGTGGCTTTCTTGATAAGTTCTACACATTATTTTCTAGTAGAAGGCTACTTGATTTTTCAATTGAATTGATCTTCATCAAAGTTAGGGAATAGTAGTTTAAGATTAATAATGTGTGCCCTATGAATTATATTTATACATGATTGTTGCGTGAAATTTTCAAATCTCACATTAGATTTATTATAGAAATTCTAGAACATAAGATATCCTGCATCACATACTATTTTATAACCCAAGATTTAAGTAACAATAACTTCTGTATGCATATATGAATTAGAATGTTTGTTGGAGCCCATGGCTACAAGAGTATGATAAGGATTATAAGGCATTTAGAGAATCAAGCACAAATTAAGTGAAATATTTACCCAAAGAATATATCAAAACAATGAAGCGTGCATGCTTCTCAAGGAGAGGTCATATCCTACATCCTACAATAAGGATACTGATGTAGGAGTTCCTGCAAGAAGGTAAAACAGAGGAAGCAAGCAAAAATAAACATTAAACTGAAGTTCTGTATTGATTATATTCCAAGATACCAGTGCAGCTACAGGTTTTAGATCTATATACTATCCCTTTTCCTCTATACTTTAAAAGGACTAAATGGCAAAAAGGTAAAATGAGTATTATGTAACTAACTATAGCACTAGGATAGTGGAGCACAATCACTTTAACAGAAATAAGTGATTAGTATAGGTAAAATGCTCCTCCAGACTTCCCTAAGTAAGAATGCTCCGCATCAAATACTCCACAAAAGCAATATTAAATTCCTTGAATCATATTTGATTGCATTTAAAATTCATCCCCTAATGTATAAAATGTTTCTATCTTATTTAAAATTCTAAAAAGATATTATCATGTTCTAAAATAAAGACATTAGATTTGAAAGTATATATTGGAGTTAAGCTATTGAAACCAAAGTATATCTACCATTGCAGAATTACATAGCCACCAGCCTTAGCCTTTAATTATAAAATTAGAATTAAGATATCACACTTCAAGATTATTCCAAGCAATTAGTTAAGCTCTTTCTGTATGCCTAAATATAATTATTCATGGTGCTTATAGTCCTACAGAAAAGACAGAGAACAGATGTGTGGTTTTTTTATTCTACATCTAACATTTCACCTTATAATCAAGTAGTGAATCCCATGTTACAAGGGCACTATCATCTGGAGACCATTCAACGCCAGCCAAGTCTATCGTGTCAACTGCAAAAGTGCCCATGATTTCCCATGAATGACAAGAAAGCAAATTTATGTAGTCTTTACAGTCTCGTCTGGTGCAAATAGCAGCAAATTTTCCATCTTTGGTAAAAGAAACACCCTTTGAAGTATGTTTTGGCCACTGCACATGAACGCATGCAGTATTCACAAGCGACCAGACAGTCAGCCGTAGTTGGAACTCAGATGTTGTTAGAATGTGGCGGCTATCAGGGCTCCATCTTGCATAAGCAATTCCTGCCGGGCCTTCATCTATTTTACATGTCCATTCTGGTTGGGTTAGTGACCAAGCTTGAACCATTGGCCTCTTGTAAAGAACACAAAGGATGTACTCCGAGTCGGAGGCCCATTCTATATGGCTTATTTTGTCAACACAAGAGTACAGTTGTACAACCTACATATAAGATATATGTGAGCCAACATAACAATGATTTTCATCAAAAGCAATATGATCAAGGGAAATTTACATACATATCACTTTATACCATTTTATTTACATATCTAACACCCAAAACTTTAATATTGCATATATACCACCTTATATTATTTTAATATCAAATATACCACTAATATTTCAATCCTAACACTCATATATTTCATTTTTAACACTCATATTTGATATGAAAGTGAACTATGGGTGGTATGTATGTAATATTAAAGTTTTAGACGTTAGATATATAAATAGAATAGTATATAATGATATCTATATCAAATGCAAAATAACTAAATTTAACACTGAATTTAATTAAGTGAAATAAAGGGCAATTTATTCTCATCAGTACAACTCTACTGTGGTCATACTGAAATTTTTCCATGTTGTTGGGTTGGGGAAAGCTTTTATGCTAGAATTTATTCCTCAAATTTAAGTGCATCACTTTGTTGTCATACACACAGGAGACAAATTGGATAAAGCTGTGATGGACAAAAATTAAAAGAGATATGTGTATTCATATGAAGGACATAAAAATAAGGGAAGAATGAGTACAAATATTTTTTTGTTCCTGTGTACTATTAATCCATATAAGATTATAAAGTCCATTACAGGTGAAATGATTAACAAATAAATTAGACAAGAACATTTCAGGTGAACTGACTAATTAATAAGTCAAGTAAGAACCCTTCCTTGGTTTTACGCACCACGATCTTCCATTTCTTATGAAAGAGTTGGGAAGATCATCTTGATACTCTAAATCCCAAGAAATATTTGAAATAGAAGATTAAATAGCAAAGATGCACTTCTCTGAATTTTAATAACAAATCATGACCTAAGCTCGTTCATAACACCTTAATTCCCAGTTAGGTGCAAATTCTGATCGAACAGTTGCACTTAGGCATCCGAGGAACCAAATTGGTTAAGCATCATCTCATTTGACTCTGATGCTATGATTTGCCTGTGATATTCATACAGTTCTTGATTCTTATCGTGTGCCGGCAAAACACGCTCAAAGACATTATGCAGATCATTAAGCCTATTCAATTTCAAAAGCCAAATAACAAAGGAAAGAATTTTGCGCAGGAATAATATTCTGGGAATTTTATTTCCCGAATATGGCGCCCGATGATTAGAAAATGAGCATTTTGGCATCGGGTTTTGAGAGAAAATGAGATGTTCATGATTGTGACGAACTCAAGCATTTTGGTATCCAGCTCATGAAAGATCCCAATAGAGCTAATTAAAAACTTTAACAATTTGGGGTGAAAAACCTTGAGTGAAACGAGGTCTCGTATCACCAGGCGGTAATCTACGGCGACAGCGAGGTAGTGGGAGTCGGGCGAGAAACAGCAGGGCCCCGTCTGCTTGTAGGAATCGGTGAAATCCATGGGTGACCCGTGGAATACTACCGCATCTCAAACAATCGATGATCCAACAGAGTAAAACCCTACCTCTATGCAGTATTCTACATGAGCTGACACGAGTGGAACTGTGGGAAGTCGAACCACTCAGAATGCAGACCTAGAACAATGCATGATGCCTTTCCCGAGCTCTTAAGAAACGATCAAAATCAATCTCAGACATCCTAGCGGTAGATCCTGATGTTTTTTTCCTTAAATTTAAAAAATGCCTGTGGGGGTTTTGAGGTGAGAGCATAAGGAACAGCTCGAGGCCCTCAAATATAAAAGAAATGTATATATTTCACTTAGAATTGATAGACCATTTTAATCGATCATAAAAATAAGAACAATTTTTTTAATATTTTAATTTATGTTTTTTGCGTGACATTTAATACTTTAATTCAAACCGAGTCTTTTACATCACAACAAATAATTAAGTTTTTTTAATTATTTTTAAGCTTATAATCTAAAAAATAAAAGATTACATAATTTTAAATGAAACCAAGCATGGTTAACGCTTAAGATATTGTTGAACTAATAAAATAATCTTTAAATAATTTTAAATTTTGACTTTTTTAAAAAAAATATAATTATTACACTGATGAAATCGTTTTATTTTTATGTGACTTCTAAAAATAAAAAAAATATGGCGTACTATAAAATTATAATATTTCATATAAATAAAGCTATTTTACATTTAAATACCATTTCATATAAGTTTATAAAACTATTTATTTAATAACTAGATGAGAATATAAGGATGAAATATATGTGATTTAAAAAATATATGTTATTAAAAAAATAAAACGTAATATTTTACTTGGACAGCTTTTAAAAAGGAACAACAACAACATGAAACATTTATCCCACTACGTGGGGTCAGATTCATGAATATTTTTTCTCCATTGTGTCCTATTAAAAGTGAAATTCTCATTTAAATCTAATAAAGAAAGGTCATTCCTAATATTTTCTAACCAAATCTTTTTAGATCTACCTCTACCTTTTTTAACATAAGTTAAATCTAATACATCTACTTTCCTAACTAAGTCATCGAAAGGGCATTATTTTATGTAACCAAATCATCTAAGGCGACTCTCTCTAATCCTATCTTCTATTGGAGCTACTCCAACCTTTTCACATATATGTTCATTTTGTATCCTATCTCTAAGGGTAAAACCACTCATTCACCTGAGCATCCTCATCTCTGCCACACTTAACTTAGTTGCTTTTAAAAGGAACATAATATAAAATTTTATTAGATAAGAAATTTAGTTGAGATAATATTTAAAACGAACAAAACTTTAAAGGGTGTTTTACATACATACCACTTAATACTATTCTATTTACATATTTAACACCTAAAATTTTAATATTACATAAATACCACCCATAGTTCATTTTCATACAAAATATGAGTGGTAGAAATGAAATATATGAGTGGTAGGAAAGAAATATAAGTGTTATATTTGATATTAAAATAATATAGGGTGATATGGATGTAATATTAAAATTTTAGATGTTAGATATGTAAATAGTATGTTATAAAGTGGTATGTATGTAAATTTCCCAACTTTAAAATATTTTTTTCTCAAGAAATGCAAAAATATTTTTCTTTTTTTATCATTTTCTTGACGAAACGCAAAAAATTTTTGAGTTTTATAAGAAAATACAAAATAATTTTACATTTAAAAAAAATAATAAAAAATATTGCATATTGAAAAGTTAATATTCACATGAATTTTCAACTTCCTTCAAACTTCTGCATATAAAATTGCAGTCAGTAAAACATGTATAAAATGAACTAAGGGGCTGTTTGGTTGCCTGAATTAGGAGTGTAAAGTAAAACAAATACCTGTATTTACTATATTTGGTTGTTTGGGTAAATTTGAGCGGAACAAAACGAAATTAATTTGAAATGCACTGCATTTACTTTACACTGCATTTACTTTACATTGTATTTACTTTGCAGGCAACCAAACAGCCCCTAAGTCTTTGTTTGAAACAACTTTCTTACTGTTTCTTAACACAGTTTTCTAAAAATAAAAAACTTTGTTGCTTTATGAAATAATAAAAATTCCATCTCAAACAAAGCCTAATACATCAGCTGTCGCAAACTGTTCCGAAACAACTGAACATAATTCACTGAACTTCTCTAAACAGAGCTGGTTTAAGATTTATGATTATCAGCCACATTAAACAAGCATTTTTCTATTTCAATTTGTAACATTCCACAATAAATGTAATGAATAAGATACCCTCTTCAAATTTTACAAGATAGGGACTCCAATTTTCTCCACATACGAATGAAGAAGGAAAAAAAAATGGAGGAAAAAAAGTTATTTGAGCTAAGGAAATTTTTTTGGTTCAAGATATCTAGTCAGAATCTGATGAGATATCCTAATTCATTTTCTTTTCCTTCTAGCTACTATTTGCCATTTCAAAGCCAGCTGGAGTTCTCTTGTTCTATCGAAGAGTCAGACTGTCAGAGCAGCAAAAATATCCTATATTTCTATACTAAACAAAATAAAGCCATAAAAAAAATTTAAAAATGAGAAGCAATAGCGAAGTAGAAGCAGTTTTTTAACAGACCAGTAATTATGGCATCAGAAACTGTTGCGGTCAAGATCCAACCCATTTAGCCCACCTGAAGAGGCACCCAACTTTTTTTGGCAATAGATAAGGTACCATAGAAGATGGATCAACGTCAGAATTCCGTGAAGAAGACCAAATATAAGTACCTCTTTCCTGCTTGCTTCCAGGCACAGTGTTGTCGAGTATAAATGCCACCAAGAGAGCAACCACCATGTTAAGCGACAGGAGAGAATTCAAAGCATAATTGAGCTGCACATACAAAACTATTCCGATAAAATATATGTATATATATTTCATGGAAAATAAAGTCTGCAAAATGAGCATAAGAGCATCTCCAACTTAAAAAAACTCATTTTTTTACTCCAAAATACGGTAATACACCAATATCAAATATAAGTACCTCTTTCCTGCTTGCTTCCAGGCACAGTGTTGTCGAGTACAAATGCCACCAAGAGAGCAACCACCATGTTAAGCGACAGGAGAGAATTCAAAGCATAATTGAGCTGCACATACAAAACTATTCCGTAAATATATATATATAAAATAAAGTTTGCAAAATGTGCATAAGGGCATCTCCAACTGAAAAAACTCATTTTTTTACTCCAAAATACGGTAATACACCAATATGCAATAACTTATCTCCAACCGAACTTCATTTTCTAACATCAAAAAGAGAATATTCCTAGTATTTTCTTGAAGAAACTAATGGACCAAGAAGGGAGTCCAAAGATGAAACAGAGAAAACTGAAGCTATGAATGCAAATCTTTTGATACAATATTTGGTAGCCCGTGCTACCTATAAATAGACTGGCTGGTACGGAACAAGAATCCGTTAGCCAGTCATAGAAGGACACGTCACCCTATCTATACAAAACTAACCGCTGCTGCATATACATGTAATTATATTTTGTGCTCTAATACTCCCCCGCAAAGTGATGGATCTTGATCGACCGTCAGTTTGTTACGCAGTTTTTGAAATCGTGTTGTAGAGAGAGCCTTAGTGAAAATGTCGGCCACTTGGTCGGTTGTGCTGATTGGTAGAATGGAGATGTTGTTTTGTTGAATGTGATCACGCACAAATCTTTGGTCGATTTTAATATGTTTGGTGCGTGCGTGAAAAACTGGGTTGTTTGCCAAAGCAATCGCTGAGGTGTTGTCACAGTAGATGTTTGTTGGAGCATTTTGAGCTATGCCAAATTCTTCCAGAAGTCTTCTAATCCAGATTACATCCGCGGTGAGGGCTGCCAACGCCCGGTACTCGGACTCGGTGGACGACCTAGAGATCGTATGCTGCTTCTTTACTGTCCAGGAGATGATCGTGTTCCCCAAGAATGAGCAGTAACCAGATGTAGATTTCCTTGACACCGGATCTCCAGCCCAGTCGGCATCTGAGTAGGAGTGAAGAACAAGGTCAGTATTTTTGACAGGTAACCCGTAGGTGGACGTACCTTTGAGATAACGTAGAAGCCGCTTGAGAAGATGCGTGTGATTTGGCTGCGGATCGTGCATATGCTGCGAGAGGAGATTAACGCTGTACGAAATGTCAGGGCGCGTAATGGTAAGATATTGCAATGACCCTGTAAGCCTGCGGTAGAGAGCTGGATCTTGAAGAATGGGTTCCTTTTTGTATGAGTCCGGGAACTTAGTGCAGGTCGGATTAGCCAACTCGTTGCACTCTGTGAGTTGGGCTTGCTGCAGAATATGCTGCACATATTTTTCTTGGGACAAGAAGTAGCTATTTTGTTGTTTTGTGATCTTGATGCCAAGAAACTCGGATACTTCGCCAAGGTGCTTCATATGAAATTGCTTGTTTAGCTTTTCCAGAATGTCTTGGATGACCTGCGAATTATTTCCTGAAATGAGAATGTCATCCACATATACGATTAAGTAAACGCAAACCTTTGCCTTAGTGTAGATGAAGAAGGACGGATCAGACGTGCTCTGCGTAAAGCCAAGACTTAAGAGGGTGTTAGTGAACGTGTTGTACCACTGTCTCGGAGCTTGTTTTAATCCATAGATCGCTTTTTGCAGATGACATACATGATCCGGATTTGCACTATCTTCAAATCCTTTAGGTTGAGTCATGTATACCGTCTCCGACAGTTGTCCATGAAGAAAAGCATTCGCCACATCGAGTTGTTGGACAGGCCAACCGTAATGTAGAGCGACGGCGAGGAGAACACGAATTGTTGGAAGTTTAGCGACCGGGCTAAATGTTTCCATGTAGTCCAATCCGTATTGTTGGTGATTTCCTTGAGCCACTAGTCGAGCTTTGTGAGTTGCAATCGTACCGTCCGCGTGATATTTTGTTTTGTATGTCCAACGACACCCTAGAATAGACGCATTTGAAGGAGGTTTGACAAGTGTCCAAGTGCCTTGACGCTGAAGTGCGAGGAATTCGTTGGCCATTGCTCGACGCCATTCTAATTTTTTTTCAGCTTCCTTATATGTGGTAGGATCGGGCTCTTGCCTGTTCTGCTTCTGATGATGAATCAGGTTGAGTCTGTTGGTAGGACGAAGGGAGCCAGTTTTGCTGCGAGTCGTCATGTTGTGCCTAGGAGCAGTTTGAATGCTGGGTTCCACAATAGGCTGAGCTAATATGTCCGAGCTTATGGGATTGACCACAGACGATGGACTCTTGTTTACCTGATTAGTCACAGTTCGCAAAGGTAGAGATTGGTGGTTAATCGTGGATGTAGACTGCACAGAAACGGGGGTCAGTAGTAAAGGAGATAGAGATTCAGCAGTACAATCAGATTTAGGTGTAGTTTTATGTTTAGCAAAAGGAAAACTCTGTTCGTGAAACAAAGTGTGCCTGCTTATGGTAATTCTGTTAGATTGAATATTGAGGCACTTGTATCCCTTATGAGCATCAGAGTAGCCGATGAACACATGGGATGTAGATTTCGGTTGAAATTTGTGTCTGGACTGTGGTGGTGAAAGTGGGAAACACTCGCACCCGAACACCTTTAGATGGTCATACCGAGGTTTGATCTTGTGAAATATTTCAAACGGAGATATCTTGGAGTTGTGCAGTAAAGGTAGTCTGTTGATAAGGTAAACTGCTGTAGAGACTGCATCCGGCCAGAACACGTATGGGACTTCGGCCGTATGAAGAAGCGTTCTTGTAGTTTCAATTATGTGACGATGCTTTCTCTCGGCCAACCCGTTTTGTTCAGGTGTGTACGGGCAAGATTTTTGATGGAAGATCCCATGTTGTTTAAGGAATGTGGAAAACGCATGATTCACATATTCAGTACCACAGTCTGACCGAAACATTTTTATTTTCTTTGACGTATAGTTCTCAACCTGAATTTTAAAATTAGCAAATGTATCAAGTACTTCAGATTTATACCGTAAAGGAAATAACCATGTAAATCGAGAGTAGTCATCTACGAAGATGACATAGTATCGGTATCCTTGATGCGAGACCACAGGAGCCGGTCCCCATACATCAGAGTGGATAACCGAAAGGAGAGTGTTATTGCTGTGATCAGACTATTCAAACGCAAGTTTATGACATTTAGATTGATTACACGAAATGCACTGAACATTACATTTTCCTAAAGCTAAACTAGGATTACAAGTAGAAATGGTATTGAAAATTATGTTATTCGGATGCCCCAATCTTTGGTGCCAGCGGACTGCGGACGTCGTGACGGTGGCAAGAGCCTTATTCTTTTGCTGGGATGTACCTGCAGGTATTTGATAAAGCCCACTTTTACATGGTCCGCGGCATAGAACCATGCCCGTCCTCATGTCCTTCAATATAAAACCGTTAGGATCAAAAACAATGGATATATTGTTATCCTTAGTTAGTTGTGAAATTGACAACAGATTAAAGTGAAGAGAGGGCGAGTGAAGAATGTGAGATAGATGGAGCTTACTGTTCGGGGTCGGGAGAATACCCGCCCCAGTGTTTGCGATCGGGACCGAGCTTCCATCGCCAATAGTGATGGTGTCGGAGCCGTGATACGGCGACGAGATGGACAAGTTGTCCAACGAGTTGGTAAGGTGAGTAGATGCCCCCGAGTCCAAGTACCAGTTGTTGTCGTTTGTGTCCGATCCTGCACGAAGAGCTTGATGTGTGGTTCTTGATGTAGGTGTGTATTGGGTATTTAGCCTGTGCCAGCATGCCTGAGCGGAATGCCCTTTCTTGAGGCAAATCTGGCATACCACCAATTCTGTAGAAGAGTTCTGAGGAGTGTTGGAGTTGTTGGACGGAGCCTTTCCTCGGAATCGCTTGCCACGACCACGGTTGTTGAAAAGAGCGGTAGTCGGATCAGAGCCTCCGATGAACTTTGTTGCATCTGTCTGCAGGTTAACTTCTTCACTCAGAAGTAACGGATAAAGTTGATCCAGGGAAATCGGCGTCAGCATTGTTCTGATCGCCGTTTTGAAGGATTGATACGTAGGTGGTAATCCGTTGAGAATATACAAAATAATATCCTCTGTATCGACAACTGCTCCTGCTGCGGCAATTTGATCAACAAGCGTTTTAATGTCGGTGAGGTATTGAGTCATATTGGAGTTCTTGAAAGTGATATTGTGTAATTCATTCTTTAATTGAATTACTTTGGAGCGATTGGTGGATTGAAAACGATTTTGAAGAGAGATCCAAATGGCAGAGGTGGTGGTTAGGTTAATGACATATGGCAAAACAGTGGTTGAAATTGTAGAGCATATGGCAGCCGAAATGTTTTGATCAGTGAGAAGCCATTTAGAAAAGGAAGGGTTTGTAGTGGACGATCCTTCAGCCGTAGTAAGAGTGGAGGGAGGAGTGGGAAAATCAGGATCAAGAAAATGTTGAAAGCCATTTGCACAGACGATCTTGAGAACCTGAGATCGCCAGAGGGTGTAGTTGTCTGCGGCGAGAGATATGGTGACGACATTTTTGATGTTCGACACCAAGAACTTGAGATTGGAAGGTATTACCAGGTCGGAGATGTCTTCTGAGACGAGAACTCCCTGTGCGTCGGTGAGAGATGATGCGGAATGAGCCATGGAAAGGAAGAAGAAGGACCTATCCTGCTCTAGATACCATGAAGAAACTAATGGACCAAGAAGGGAGTCCAAAGATGAAACAGAGAAAACTGAAGCTATGAATGCAAATCTTTTGATACAATATTCGGTAGCCCGTGCTACCTATAAATAGACTGGCTGGTACGGAACAAGAATCCGTTAGCAAGTCATAGAAGGACACGTCACCCTATCTATACAAAACTAACAGCTGCTGCATATACATGTAATTATATTTTGTGCTCTAATAATTCTTTCTCATACTTAAAATTTTCAAATTAATGACCAGTTTTTCGAATTAAAAAAAATATATATAGCGGGTGAACAGTGCGATGCCAATATCGTCCGCAAGCAAATATTAGAAGATTTGACGTTCGGATGGAGCGACCGAACGACGCCACACATATTTGACGTTCAGTTGGAGATGCCCTAAGCTAAACTACGGTATCAAATGCTTTGCAATAAGAATTTCACTGGACTGGTTTGAGAATTATGGGCAAGGAGGGCTAAAACTCACTCCTTTACTGCCAGTATTTATGGGTCCATCAGATGCGGCTGCGTAAGGTACAAGATAACTAGGAAGAATGAGGGTAGAGCTAGACGGATATTGTTGAAAATATGCAGGAATGGATAGAGAAATAAATAATGTAAACCCAACGATGAGCATGTTCCTCGAGCATGCAGACTGAGTGTATTGCATGGTGGATAGGCCAAGTGCCACAATTAAAGCCCAAGTGAAGCACAGGACAGCAGCAGCCAATGCCAGTGGTATTGAAGCAATAAGAGCGCCCACTTTTCCTGTCAAATAAACAGATTATAACTTTGATTGTTTTATAAAAAAATGGTCATTCAGGTACATTTCATGAAACTCTTATATATTTATATATATATATAAGATTTATATAGCACCATAGTGTTTAAACCACATCAAAATATGTATGAAAAAAATGTACTTTACTTTAAATAAATTAATATTAGTAATATTTTTTATGTAATTTTAAAAAATTGGATGTTAAATAAGTAAATGTAAATATTAGGTTTTAAATATGTAAATAAATAAAAAATTTGAGTTATGTAAGTAAATTCCCATTTAAAAAATTGGGTGTAGATTATGAGAGATTATTCTGTGCGGACACCGGTCGGGAGAACCGTCCTGTTTAAGCTCAGGTACCGAGTACCGCTGGTTATAAGCCCGGTACCGGACATGACACATTTTCATTGGGGCCTGGATTCCGGACAGAATGATTTTTCGTAGATTATACTGATGATAGGTTTATCCAGTTTAGTTCACTCTAGCGGACACAAAAAATATGCCCAGTACAAAAAGAACTGTATAGGATCTAAAGTTCATACCTACAAAAGAGAAGAGGATCAAAAAGACTGCTCCAAATGATAAGGCTTTTCTGCTCGCCATCTTTGTTGCATCAAGGGTATGAATATTTTCTGTCAATGTTGATGAACTAGTACCAGTGCCCCAAAGTCCAGCCAGAATTCCTGAAAGACCTTCCAGTCCTATGCCTCTGCTAACAACACCAGGTGTCGGAGGCCTTAAATTAATAAGCAAGGATGTGGCATGGTATGATCCAATCTGCACAAGTTAATGATGAGCAAATTATTCTTGAAGCTTCATGAAATCATTTCTCTAACAAAATATATATGGAATATATAATCACCTAAAAAAAAGAATATATCGATTTTCAATGAGTAATCAGTGCTTCATATTCTTTTAGTCATTCTTTAACGATATCGCTATAGAAAATAGTGAAAATGCGATAAAATATAAATGCAACGGTCTGTATTCTATTTTTGTACAGAACTTTTTTCCACATGATTTATTTAGCAATAATGCACCATTCAGTCGGCAAGTCAATATAGTTTCCTTAACCCATACTATAAAAACTATAGTAGTGATACGTCTCCAAAAATCATCCTGATCGGGTGTGAATCTTGATGCATATATGAATTGGAAACTTCCAAAATTAAATTGGGATCATCTAAATTCCGATTTCAGCAAAATTATACTCAAACTGAATTTTACGATGAGATGAACCTGACAACATCAAAATCGGTCAAATTTGAGCCCAAATTGGCCCAAAATCAAGGGACTGAAGCATATTTGAAAACTTTAGTGCATTAATTAGATGACTAAATGATATCCAAATATAGCAAGCTTATAGTAGAATGAAGCAACTTGACGAGATAACCCAACAAACCTAAGATTGCTTAAGTTTAACATCATTAAGGCGCTTAAAGGTTTGACAAACGATACATGATGAAAGGTATCAATATTAGCCGTTTGATGGACCACTTCGAATTCACCATGATCTTCTCTATATTTATAGAGCATATCGCTCTCAAAATTTATAAATAGACCCTCATTGCCCAGATGAAAGGGGCTTGGACTTTTGGAGGCTTATACCCGGGGCTATAAACTCAAGAGAGCTCTGAGGCTTGAAGCATTCCAAAGCTCCACCCGGCACCACCACCGCCGAACCCTCACCACAAGACTGTCTGTCAACTACAATCCCTCTGACCTCGGTTGCCCGCTAACTAGAGCCCCTCCGCCCATAGTCGTCCGCCGACTAATGTCCATCCGAGCTCCATCGCCCACATACTAGAATCCCTCCAACTCTATCAGCCGACAACGGTCCCCTATACATCAGTCACCCAACTACGTTGACCTTCCTCGCCAACTGACAACGGTCCCTCCAACCACTGTCGCCTGCCAACTACGGTCCCTCTAACCTCTATCACCCAAAAACAATCCCCTCTACCTCAGTCACCGGACTATGACCCTTCGACCTCCGTCACCCGACTACAGTCCTACCGACCAAATGAATATGTCAACATTCTTTCAAGAACAACTCTCTATAACTGGCTTCTTCCAACTCTCATCATGTAATTTTCTCTATATGATATATATTTGCTAAATTGAGCCAAGGTATTTCCCCGATAAAAGGCATCATTTGTAAAAGATCAATCCTTGTTTCACACCACATTCACCTCCTTATTTGAACCACTTATGACTTCAACATAAGCAACCTAGTACGTATACAAGTCCTTTAGTGTGAATACAAAAAATATGTTGATTTCTACCATCACAAATTCTCTATGTTAAACTCTTATATGGTATCAAAGATTTTCAACACCAACAAGTCGATCCTACTCATCAATTACCTGGCGAACAAAATCAACCCTAGTACAATAGTACTTCCTGGCCACCCATCCTTCACTAGTGTGAACCCAATTGCCCAACTCCCCCTCAAAACTCACCTCCAACAATTATCCATCCTGACGAGCTCAACAACAATCGCTCTTCAATATAGCTTTCTTGTTATATCAATGGCAATAACCCATAACTCTCTCACACCATAAATAAAGAAAACCTTGAAATCATCAACAAAATAATACCATTTGGGTTCAACAAGACCAACTCTTGCATTACAACATGTACGCCTCCTTATCCGAACCATCATCTTGCCTCCTCATCATCTTGCAAGGAGTGGGATAAAATCAAAGATATAAACTTGAAAATAGGCTTATGTGGTTTGGACATACAAATTTTTTAAAATGCACATTATAAATGGAGTAGATAAAATTAGTATTTGAGGTCTAGAAAATGGAAGGGGTAAATTTAAGGTAACATGGATAAAATCTGTGCAAAATGATTTTGCAAGAATAGCTTTAACATGACAGAGGTAGCATTAAACAAGAATAATTAAAGAATCATTCATAAAACTGACCCAAATAATTATGATGATGATGATAAGCTGCTCTAAATAGTCTCTTCTAATTGGGCAATATTAGAGATATGAATCACTGATTACTCGTGGAAGGAACTGTACCACAGTATAACTTGGCGGTATACAGAAATCTAGAGAATTTCTCAAGCTTCCAGAAGCCACAACCATTAAAATCGCAATAAAATTTTTAAAACATAAAAAAGACACTAATAAAATGTATACACTAAAAGTAGAGGGTTTGAATATTGGGGGAGAGGAGCTGCCCCCCTGAGGTCAAAGACCTATATCTAGTAAATTAAATTGCTACACTATGGTTCCAAGCTATGAACTATCCAAAATTCAATAGATAAAAAAAGCTGCAGCGATTGTTTCAAGATGTCACTTACTGAGTCAACTGATGCAACAATTGATACAATTGCCATAATGATGGATGTCCTGAAATTGAATGTAGGTGCCCCCCATTGGAATGGATAAGGAATCCTAACCCAAGCTGCTGTCTTCCAAGCAACAGAAACATCAGTGCGACAACGCTTCATGGTAAGTGCATGTTTTCTGCAAGTATCTGCCAAAATATTCGAGCTGGGTATATTTGAGCTGCAGCCTTTATAGTTATAAGCTCCACCAGTCGTCAAAAAGAATGCATATGCCCAAACAATGGCAACACTAATGGGAACCTGCTAGTAAATCATACAAAAAGAAGAAATAAAAATAAAATGGCATTTTTAGTCATAGCAAAATTATTAAGGGGGTGTTTGGTATAGGATTGGATTCAATTTTAGTAGGAATTACAAAATCCTGTAAATCTGGATTTAGTAAATTCTAGGCTCATAAATCCTAAAAAGTGTTTGGTATGACAAATTTTAAATCCTATTAAATCCAAAGAAGTTGTTTAACAACACATCGCAACACAGGCGCCGCAGGAAGAAGTTCCGCAACTATAAGTCGCGTTAAATCCGAATAAGAATGGGAATAGGATTTAGACAAATTTACCGAATTTATGCCGTAAATCCAGTTTGCCAGATTTATAGCGGCGTGGATTGTGTTTGGCTGGATTTACGCTAAATCCTACTAAAAACGACGGACAAATCCGATGCCAAACACCCCCTAAGACTCGACCATTTTGATAAACGGGAAGTGCAAGCTCCGTGAAATTTTAGTGAAAGGAGATAAAAGGATTAAATAATTAACAAAATCCAGATGCCCAAGAAAAAAACAGGAAAACAGAAAGTTTAGGAAATACCGCATAAACTAGGAAAATTTTATGTCCGAAAATTGAAATTTTGCGAAGGTACTGCAATTGACAATAAGGGAAGAAAAAGTGTCATGATACAGCAAAGTCTGCGTCCAAGTAACCAAAGCTTCTCATAAGCTAGCAACCTTGCTAATCAGCTGACAAGCTATAAGGAGAGGGTGATAAAGCTGTTAATGCAGGCCAACACGTGATTATGCTAAGCAACATCTTACCAGAGTGAAAATAAGAATCAATAGAATTAGCGGGATGCTTATTCCTACACAGGAACCCGCCTGAGGGAAACCATAGCTGAAAAATGCCAAACCTATAGTAGCAACAGTAGGAGCAACTACAACTGGATTTATCAACCTGTAAACACAAAATATCACTATGTACGTCATCAAGAAGGAATATTTTAACAAAATGCTTTGGGCATGCCATTACAAAAGGTAAACAAGCCATCTTAAGTAGCATGATTTTAAAAGATAAATAGAACCCTTGATTTATGTTGCTTTTTAATAGCCTAAAGTAGAAGTAGTTTGAGCTTATGCAATAACTGAGATACTCGAGATACATATAATACAAAGTTTTAGAAATAAGAATCTTCTTCCAAACTATATGGAAAAAGGACCAGATAAAGACTTTGCATTAACATAATAATAAGATCACTTGAAAGAACATGCATAACTGGTCAAAACATCAAAAAATAAAAATATAGAAAACTCCCTTGAAATATATACAACACCCAGAGAATGAGATTAAAACCTCTAATGACGCATGGTTGAGACGCATATACATACATAAAATGCACAAGTGCTGAATATCACGATATTTTGATTAATATGGCATGCAGTCCTCTCCCGCACACCTGCATAAGTTTGTTCAAGGACTGACCAAACCTGTTGAAAGCACACTCAATAAAGCCTTGAAAAGTAACAGGGCTGGCTCAACCCAGGCTACACCCATGCAAGTTTACAAGGGAGGCCCTTTAAGACCCATATAAACTTGCTTAAGAATGCATAAAACTGATTTTCTCTCGAGAGACCTGCAAGTGCTGGAGAATGAATACCTTCATCAAGACCAACAGTTAACTCCTAAAAGATCCAGCGGAATTTTCAATAGCATGTGCTGGAGAATGTTAAGAGGTTGAATAAACATCTTTAATGGTTGCTTAGATGATGATGATGTAAGAAAATGGGTGTCGGATTTTTAAATGATAATTTTTTAATCATAAACGAGTTTAATTTCACAGATTATTGGTGGCTAAGGCATTTCTTAGTCAAATTGTAAAAATAAGGAGTGACCACTAGAAAATTACTCGTTGGAACTTTATCCTGTACGTGAAGTTCATCATATCAATTAAGAATCACAGTGCTTCATAAAAGTACCTCAGAATAAGTGACATAAGTCCACTATAACCCAAGATGGTTTGAAAAATGGAACCAACAATGATTGCCCCTTGTAATTCCCTCATAATGTGCCTGAATTTCTGCATTATAAGAATAAAGTATTTTGCAATTGCGTCAAATGGAAAATGGAAATCTCAACGAACAAAAATAGAGGATGCTCACAACAGTAGAAGGAAATATGATATCAGAGTCATTTAATATAAAAAACTAAATCCTAGTTAATTTTCCATAATGCGTTATCAAAAGGCATGCATAAGTATAAATGAAAGACATGAGAGGGACCAACTGATGGGGACATCAAAACTTGTAAAGTCTATCAAAGACGTGGTCGTTGATCGACGGCCACGTTCGAGTTGATATTTTTTTGAGTCATTTCATGTATTTGTCTTTTATTATTTATGTTGTAGTTGTTTTTTTTTCATTTTACCCCTTACTTAAGGGAGGTCGTATGTAAGCCCTGAGGGCATTGTCGTCTTTCTTATTTTGACTCTTATGTACGAGACTATTTATAGCCCCTATGTTTCTCTTTGAATGTTTAATAATTGAATGATAAAAATTTGTGCTATTGCTTGAGTTCTTGAGAGATTTTGAGAGTGCTTGGAGAGAGAGCGAGATCCTAAGAGAGGGAATTTGGATCACCCGCCAACCTTGGAGACGGTCGGGTTCGTGATTCATTACTTTATCTTTTTCCCTTTCTCTTCGTCATCTCATCACCACCTTCTAAACTCCTCATCACCCAAACCGAAGCCAACCGAACCTCATCACCACCGACCACCTAATCCCACGCCAACTAGCTACCGGCCTAGGCATTAACCCCATCTCCTTAAGCCGTCGGCCACCTTACATCCACCCTCACCCGAACCCCCATTCCAACCGCCGGCCACTCCCCTTTGCCTTCCCCTCCCGCACTAATTACTATCACACCTTTCCTAAATTAATTCTTCATATTTTAAGGAACTCAAATAATTACAAAATTCAAATTTATTTGAATTTGAAATTATTTCCTAAAATATAAATCCTATTTTAGGAAAGCTTCTAAATCCCTTCATATTTGAATTTCGAATTAAATTGGGATGAGATCTTTCTTCCCAAATTTAATTCTTTAAATCAAGAGGGCATTAAAAGCTTCCATAAATCCTTCCTTTATTCCCCTATGCCGCCGGCCCCCCATTAAATTCCTTTTGGAATTGTTTCCAAAACTCAAGTTACCCCTTTAGAAATAATTCAAGTCCTCTTTATTTCCTCTTGGCCGAAATTCCCATGCTCCCAATCTATTTGAAATCTTTCTAAAAGAGAGTCTTCCCCATTTGGAATTAAATCAAACCCCTCTCCCTCTCTTTTACCACCCGCCCCTCTCTCTTCCCCCTTCATTAGTTAAAACTAATGAAGGATTTGAATTAACCTTTCCAAAATCTAAACCCAAATTCCCAAACCTCTTCCCCACATGTCCAGCCATTTATTCCCCTTTCTTCCTTGGGGGTTTTCGAGATAAGATCCTCTCTTTCAATAGGAGCCTTCAAGGGAAGTACCAACTAGCGTGCTCAACACTTCAACACTACAGAAACTTCTTTCTCTCTAATTTGAACCTTCAAGATACGCTACGACGAACATCTTCAACCTATCACTACTTGTTTCCGAGCTTCAACAAAGGTAAACTTCTTCCCCTTTTCAATTATCTTCCTAATCCACTAATCTTGTAGGTGGTGATCTCATTGCGGGAATCGTGCCTCACCTCCTGCATGAGCTTAGTAAACGTAGGAACTTGTTTCGCCTTTGCCTAAGATTAGTAAACATAGGGTCGAGCGGACTTTCTATGCTTCTAATCTTATTGTTATATTAGGGATTTTATTGAAAGATATTTACTTCGCATGTTGTTGAATTTCTAACTTGTTTTGATAATTCAAGCTCTTGGCAAGTGGCTTAGCCTAAACATAGGCACCCCTCCCTTTTTTTGTCGTTTTAACTGCTAATAGTTTTAATCTTAATTGTTTTATTCAAGAAATCGAGCAATTTCTTATTGCATCCATTTTAAGCATTGTAATCCTGCATCACCAACAGTGATAGAGGAGGCGCAATTTCCAACCACTAGTTAGCTAACCACCATACTTAATAATAACCTAGCACATTTGTGCCCAAATTCTCATGCATCTCAAATATATTACTATCCAAGATGTGCAATTGGAAAATGTTGGAAGTTTCAGATTATATGCAAAATAATATAAAATTTTGCGATTAGAAAACGTAGGAATGCTAAGAGAAAATTAAAGCAAAATTTAAAAAAAATAAAGAAAATTTTTAAAATAATATGTTTGAAAGCAAAAACTTAGTACAATCTTAAAAAATAGTAAAACTAAAAATTGCAACATTGAAATTTTAAAGTTCTAGCCTACAAGTATTGTTCCAGTAACCTGGCTTTATTCTCATCCCACCATTCTCTTGCATTTAATTCGCCGAACCTCTCTTGGCTGCAAAATTCAAAGATAAAGATGTAGCACTCGTACCTTATCTAAGTTTAACACGAACTATCTCTTTTATATCATCTGGCGAGGAGCGTATAGTCACATAAACACCCGGTTCATCTTCAACTACCCATTTTATCATTTTACCATTAACTCCTTTTAGACAAGTTGTTATTGAATTATGTTTTATAGCAATAGTGTTGTCGTGATTTGCTTATATTGCAATGGATAGATCATTTGAGTTGGTAGTAGCGTTTTGCTTGTGTTGTTGGATAGAATTAATATCATCCTAAGAACAAAACACATGTGCAGCCTATAATATTGACATATACAATGAATGATAGATGCACCTCTTAGCTGAGTAGATAAAATTTGACATGAACCCTTGAGCTCATAAAAACTAAGCTTCCATTCATACACCAAACCCAAAATAAAAACTAAGCTCATAATATTTGAACCCTTCAGCTTCCGTATCTCAATGGGGCAAACACAAACAACTCTCCATGTACAGCCTATAATATTTAACATCTTGTAAGACCTTTACACAAGCCAAAAAAAATTGTTATATCTTAAAACTCCACTCTCAGTTATACGCCTAAGAAATTAAAAGTCGGTGACACCTCAAGATTCTGTATGAAATTTCTTTTTTCTAATTGGGTAGAATATACTCAAGAATTCCAAGTTCTGCTGTGCATTAACAGATGGATAGAAAATGCACTTTTAATGTATAGATCTTGAAAATATATTCAAAAGTATGATTATATAACTGCTAGCATTGTGTATGCTTGGATTTGTTGGCGTCATGGTGCAAAAAAATATCAAGTCTCTTTGAGCATAAATTTATATGTTTGACTTCAGTATTCAATTCCAGAGCTATGAATGAATAAATGAAGGATAACAAACAATTGAAAGCATCGCAATCAAACATACATTATCGCTGAGGTTTCGATATTCTTCTGAATTAATGATAACCAAAGCAGGAGCAAGATATACAAACGAGCTTCCCTGAACCAATGGAAGCCTAGTACCAAAGAATGAGTGCATTATTGTCGTAACACCAGACACTAGTAGTACAGTTGCAATAACGTTAGCAGTTTCCCCCTACACCAATGGAGAAGAACATGCAGACTTAGGTCATTTTCAGGGTTACACAAACTGAAAATAGCCACAAAGAAAGAAGGCTTACATCAGTTCCACCCATGGCGGGAACCATGATTAGAGGTACAAATATAAGTGAGCCAGCCAGTGAAAGATAGTGTTGGATACCATATAAAAACAGCCGACCTGCAGAAAAACATCCGCAGCAAGTTTGAGAAATATATAGCACAGAAGTTCTCATCCTTAGCATAACATTACGAAAGAAAAAACTTCGTGATTTCAAGCAACTTGCATAATCTACTTAAATAGAAAAATCATATAAAAGCTGGAAAACACCAGAATAATTTCCTTCTTTCAGCTGTCAAAAATACGGGAGTGCTGAAACACACTCATCCAGATGATTTTTCTAAAAACTAAATTTGACATCCTCAGCTAATTACAAGCATGCATCACATGATTAGAACAACTAAAATAGGTTGGGATGGGTTCCCAATGTAGAAGTTCTTTACCTGCATGGATTAAAGCAAGAATAGCCGAGAAGCAGGGAAGGAAAAATGCAGGGGAAAACCGGCTTTTACATTCTCGGTTCAATAATAAAACAGAGAATACTGTAGAGCGTAAGGGTGAGAAGGGAGTTATATGTTAACAGTCTGGATTGCTGTAGCAGCGATCCAACGGCCAAGAGATGAAGAGCTGAAAGTGTCCAGGCGAAGTGGAGCAGGGGAGATGGATAGATGAGCCGAAGTATCCATACTTCAAACTGCTAATCAAGTGTGCTCATCCGCCCCCCTCAAGTTGACAATCGAGGATAGGATTGTTAACTTGTCACGAAGTTGAGAGAAGCGGGCAACACTGAGAGATTTGGTGAAGAGGTAAGCAGGCTGATCTTGGGAGGTTATATGATGGACTGAAATGTATTTCAACCTGATGCAATCCCTTATAAAGTGGAAGTCAATTTATATATGTTTGATTCTAGCATGAAAGATGGGTTTGTTGGCCAATGCTAGAGTTGAAACATTATCACAAAACAATTTTGATGGTTGGGAGAGGGATACACCAAATTCTACTAGTAATCTTCGGAGCCAGATGAAAATGTAGTTGTTGTGGGTTGTGCATGTGCTGACATAGGTAGTTGACAGCATACAGAAGGTCTGGACTGGTAATGGTCAAGTATTATAGGGAACCAACTAGTTGATGGTAAAAGTCTGGGCTAGTGTGTGGTTCCAAGCAGGTGGCTGCATTGGAGAATTTGGTAGGTAGAGGCGTGAGGACTAGTTTGCAATCAGTCATTGCTGCTTTACATAGAATTTTAGCTGCATATTTGGATTGATTGAGGTGGATACCAGTGGGAATATAACATACTTGCAATCCAAGGAAGTAGTCTAGCTATCCCGATTTTTTATGCTAAATATGTGCTGTAAAGTTGCTAACAGCTTGTCTATGGCTGGTTTGTTATTACCAGTGAAGAGTATATCATCCACATATATAAGGATATTTATCTGTATTGAGTCTTGGTGAAATATGAGGAAGGAAGGATCAGCATAGTTGATTTGAAATCCATATTGAAGCAGGTAGGAGGAAAGAGTGGCGAACCACTGACGGTTGGCTTGCTTGAGGCCATAAATTGCTTTCTTGAGTAAGCATACATGGTTGGGAAATTTTGGATCAACAAAGCTTGGTGGTTACATCATGTAAACTGTTTCATCAAGTCATGCGAGAAGGCATCAGAAACATCCAATTGGAGGACTGGCTAATTTTGGGTGACAACAACAGTGAGTAGGATTCTAATTGTGGGAAATTTAGCAACTGGGCTGAAGGTTTCTTGGTAGTCCAAGCCAGGTTCTTACTTAAAGCCTTGGCAATTAAGCGGGCTTTCTAGTGGAAAACAGATCCGTTAGAGTGAAATTTTGTCTTGAATAACAATTTGCATCCTAAGATGTTTATGTCAGGTTTAGGGGGTAACTAAACCCAAGTCCCTTGTGTTTGAAGTGCTTCAAATTCAGCAGTCATAGCAGCTCGCCAAATCGGGTATTTAATAGTTTGAGAATAGCAGGAGGGGTTTGTGGGTACAGTGGTGTGTTGGAGATCAAAAATGGGTTTGGGTTTAAGGTTTGTTGGTTTGAGCACAAGTTAGCATTGGGTTACAGGGGGCTGAAGGGTGGCAGATATAAGAGGAGGAGAGGGTGTTGTATGGGCTGTATGAGATGGAGGAGGAAAGGGTGTTGTATGGACTATATGAGTTGGTGATAGGGGTTGTTGAGAGGGTTGGATGGATCTGTAAGCGGTTGGAATGATGGAGGATCATTGGATGTTATGGGAGTTGAGGTGGATGGTTGGATGGTAGAGATAGGAACAAGGGTGAATGGAGAGAGGTGGGTTGGTTATGGAGAGGAATTTCGTGGGCTGGAGTCGGATGTTGAGGTGATGGTTTTGAAGGGGAATATTGATTCATGGAAGTGTACATGTCGGGAGATACATATCCGGCCCGTGGTGAGGTTGAGACATTTGTATCATTTGGCATTGCAGGCAAAACCTATGAAGAGGCAGGGTGTGGATCGAGGAGCAAGTTTGTTTGGTGTTGAGGGGGTTAGCCAAGGGTAACAAAAATAATCAAAAGTGCGAAGGTTGGTGTATGTAGGTGGTTGTTTATATGGGCATTCCAAAGGGGATTTGTCGTTAAAAACTTTGGATGGTAGGCGGTTGATTAAGTAAACAATAATGAGGAGAGTTTCCCACCAAAAAGTTGGAGGTAAATGAGCTTGAAAAAGCAATGCTCGTATAGTTTCAAGTAAGTGTCGATGTTTGCGTTCAACAACACCATTTTGTTGAGGGGTGTAAGGAAAAACTGAGTTGGTGAATTATGCCATACATATTCACCACCACCATCTGATCTGAGAATTTTTATTTTTTTTTTGGAATTGACGTTCAACAAGACATTTGAACTTTATAAATGAGGAAAAACTTCATATTTTGAGTGTAAAGAATACACCCATGAATAGCGGCTAAAGTCATCAACAAATAGAAGATAATTATGATAATTTTGCATTGATAAAGTGGAGGAATAGCCTTGTACATTACTATGTATCAGCTCTAAATATTGAGTAGACATATAAGCAGATAATGGAAAAGATAAACAACTACATTTGGCATAAGCACATGTTGAGCAGTGAGAGGGGGGTTGATGGTGAGCTGAGTTGTAAAGAGTTGGAGATGAGGTGCTGAGTTGAAGCAGATGGATGTCCCAAGCATTGGTGCCAGACTGTGGAGGATGTTATAGAGGTGGTGAATGTTGTAGGCGTTGTGTGTGGAGGTTGTCAAGTGGTTGTCTTGGAGGAGCTAATGGGATATAGACCGTGTAAAGCAATGATTATCAGAAGTTAGCTTATGAATTGAGGGAATCATTTGATCACTAATATTCGAATTTTATTCTTTTTTTCAACTTTAATTAAAATTGATTCACAATGAATCTTCAATTTTTCATTGATTTTTTTATCTCTATGATTCTAATTAATAAAGGGTTTCTAGAGGTCCTTATCTCATACTATTACTCATATTAATAGTAATATAAAGAAGAAAGAAAGTTTGGGAACATGAAGAACATTAGGAATGTATAGCGTACGAATTTTAAAAAGGAGCATGTGTAATGCGTAATTAAGCAAAAGAAGCGAGATCATTAAAAAATTTAAAAAAAAAAGAACAAAAATGTCAAATAATTTGATGTTTTCTATTAAAAATGCTAAATAATTAAGAAAAGTCAATTATTTGTCATTAATTAGGCGTTTCCATAGAAAATGCTAATTAATGAAGAAAAACCAAAATAATTTGACGTTTTCTTCATTTTGGCTTTTTCTTCATTGGAGAGAGAGAGAGGGAGGGGCGGGAGAGAGATGACTGGGGAAAAAGAAAGAGAAGGGGAGAGAGAAAGACGGGAGAGAGGGAGAGAGGTTATGTGGGAGAGAGGAGAGAGAGCAAATGGGGAGAGAGTTTTAAAAAATAATTATTATTTAAATAGTTAAAAAATTATTAATTAAATATATTTTTACTAATATTTGAAATATATTATAGCTTATTGTTAAATGTTTAAATATTAAATTATTATTTAAAATAAAAGTTAAAATGATTATTATTTAACAGTCAAAATAATAGTTAAAATAATCATTTAATTAAATATTTCAAATATATTTTTTATTAATATTAAAAATATATTTAACTATTGTGAAAAATTAAAATATTTAATTATCAATTAAAATTATAGTTAAAATGATTATCATTTAACAGTAAAAATAATAATTAAAATAATTATAATAATATAAAAAAAATATTAATAAAAATATTTTAATATTTATTAATAATTATTTTAACTATTATTTTAATGTTAAATGATAATCATTTTAAATATAATTTAAAATATAATTAAATCCTTAAACATTTAACATAGTTAATATATTTTAAATATCATTAAAAATATATTTTGAAATATTTAATTAATAATTATATTAATTATTATTTGATATTAAAATAATTATTATTTTAAATATTATTTAAAATAATTCAAATATTTAAACATTTAACAATAAGTTAAATATATTTCAAATATTAGTAAAAAATATTTATTAAATATTTAATTAACAAAATTTTTACCTATTTAAATAATAATTATTTTAATTAAACATTTAAAATGATTATTATTTAACAATCAATTATAATATTTAATATTTACTTAATAATTATCACTTCAATCTATTATTTAAATATTTAATAAATATTATCTTAACTATTTTTTTCTCTCTTCTCTCTCCCCTCCTCTTTCTCTCTTTCCCTAGTCCCCCCTCTCTCTCTCCCCTCCCCCTCCCCCCTCTCTCTCTCCACTGAAGCAAACGCCAAAGAATTTGACATTTTCTTAATTATTTAGTATTTTCTATAAAAAATTCAAATTATTTGGAATTTTTACTTTTTTAAAATTATTTAATAATCACGCTTCTTTTGCTTAAGTACACATTAAATATGCTTCTTTTTAAAATTCGGCTAGGTAGAGCTTACAACATGGTGTGGGGAGTAGGCCATGTCCTGTATGGGCAATTGGGAGTTGTTGTTCATTGCCAACTTGAGCCATATATGGACCGAAATAGGGCTGAATGTTGTGGAGTTGGGAGGAGTCAGACATGAGATGGTCAAGTTAACACCTGTTGATAAATTGAGTAGAGTTCAAGTTAACCCGCAAACTCAAAAAACAATCCGTTTAACCAGCCCTCACTCGGTCAGATCTCCCCTAGCCCATCGCACTCACATTGGCCCTCGCGGCCTCCTTCGCGGACTCGCCCACCAGCCCTCTTGCCCTCGCTCTCGCTCGCCCTAGCCCTCGACCTCACCCTAGCCCTCGCTCACATGCTCGCACTCGCAGGTTTGCACAATAATCACTTAATGGTTCAACTATAGTTTGATCTAGAATGAACTTTTCGACATATTTCTTCAATCAAAAAAACAACAAAGATATTTCTTCAATTATATAGATTATGAGTCAAATAAAGTGATTTTTTTTGTTGGCAAAGTAAAACATGTAGGGAACACAAATAAAAAAGAGAAAATACCGCAAAAAGAAAGAACAATAGGATTTATCGTGAAAAAAACTCAAAACAAGAAAAAATAAGGGAGTCACACCATACCAAGAAATTCACTATAAAAATTTGGGAGAAGTAATACAACTCTCTTCTCTCTCACTATCTCATTGTCTCTCTTCATTCTAGCATTGTTCTCTCACAAGAACAACAAAGAGAAAACCATACAAAACTACCAAGAGATGCAACCCTTCAAGAAAATGGTAAGAAAATTGTCAACTTGTCTCGCAACGCCATAGCGCTCAACTCTCTGTTCCAGTCTACCTAGCAACACTGCAACACAAGGGGTCTAAAGCATTGTAGTGTTATGGGCAGCGTCCCAGCACGGAGATTTGGAGAGCCTAAGTGCTCTGCCCTTTGTTAATTTCCAAGCAAACTATATAGCACCGCAACGCTCAGGTACACAACGCCGCAGCGTTGTATGGTTGTATGAAGGAAAAAAAGGATTTTTGGCTGCAATCAACAAGCAAACTTGATCGATAGAATTGACGTCCACGCCGCAATACAACCCGTTTGATAGATACAATCAAATTCCACGCAAAACAAACAATTTCCCCATAAGAATGTGTTATTTCTAATATAACATAGCCCTTTGATTCCAAAATGCCTATTTATAATGAATTAATTGAATTATGGTCAACTCAATGTTAATTCAAATGACTTGTTTCTCATTCAATATCAATTAAAATGATTTGCTTTCCCCAATTTACAAAAAATTAACATAACATTCAAATTAAAATATTTTTAAATAAAATTCATGTGCCGGATTAAAAAATTTTGACTTAGGGATATAAACTTTGATTGATTGATCATGTATTACATTTATCTTAAAATAAATCCAAAAGCTTTTAGATTCATCATAGCCCTTTTTTTATTGGGATATACTGATAAACCTTTTTTTACCTTTAAGATGCGTATATTTTTAGCATTGATCCCTAAAAGAGTCCCGTGGTGAACATTTTTATTCATTCAATTCAGTTCAGCGGGGCTAGGTCCAATATTTGTTAAATTACTGCCCTGAGGATAGACTCTTCTCCGAGGGGCAAAAACCACAGCGGGAAGTTGACTTCTTCTCTCAATTGCGTGTATGCTGTGATTTTTTTGGAACCAAGACATCCTTTTTTCCATCGCTCTACCGGCTTCAAAGAACATTATTGACTGGAAACAAATTGAAGCAAAAGTGCTTATTTAAAAGCTCTCCTTCTATGAGTTCATTGATGCATTAAAATGTAGCTTTGTCAAAGGCGGAAAAATGTTAAAACGAAAATAAAATAAACAAGATGATGCAAGGAGGCCCAGGACTCTACAGCAGGAAAAAAAAACCACAAGTCCAGATAAACTAACCAAAACCCGGATTTTCTGTGAGTTCACACATAAGGCCCGATTTAAGCGGAGCCGTAATCTGCGGCTCAGGAGGATCCGCAATCAAGTCAATCTCCACTTCATCTTTTTTCGCCTCTCCATCCCCAGATCCCATAGTCATCGCAGGCTCCCCGTTCCCGCGCTCGTTTACATTTTTACCCTCGCCCTTCCCTCTCAATGGCAGATCATTTCCCACCCATCTGCCCTCCTCCTTCAAACCAACTTCAGGCTCAACTCCAATCCTCCTCTTCTCCTTCTCGAATTTCCTCCCAACATTCTTCAAACCAGCAAGCTCCGAGTCCAGATCCGCCGCTGGACCGATGTCAGCATCTGTCCTTCTCTGCCCCAAAATTGGCTCCAACTCGACCTTGGACGCCCCCCGGTTCCCGAGGCGGCGGCCAAGGCCCTTCTCCATATCCAACCCCACACCTTTTCCGGGCGGCGGCGGTGGCGGTGTGGGCGCTAATTGTCCCTGCGGTGCCGCATCTTCCCCTCCCTCGTCTATGATGCTGCTTAAAGTGCTCTCACCAGAGAAATTGTGGTTGAAGCCGGTCCTATTCGCCCACGATTTGAGCTCATGAGGACTGTGATCCGTCTTGGAGACGAACGGCTCGATGGCCGGCGGCCAGGGTCCCGGTCGGCGACGATCCTTGTTTGAAACCGGCCGGGCCTCCACCGCAGATTTCCTGTCCATTTCGTTCGCGGAAAGAGAGGAGCGGCAGTTGAGTTAAAAGAAGGCGAGGAGTGTACCGTAAGGAAAAAAAACTTTCAGGCGCCGTGAGGTGGGAGGGTATAACGAGAGAGAGTGAGAGAGTGCGAGCGCGAGCGAGTGGTAACTGGTTAAGTGCTGGTGGACTGGTGGCCCGTCCCTTTCTGGACTTGTTCTCTGACGTAGACAGCGTGGTGGATAAGCGCTGCATGGACCGGGTCTACGTGGACCGAAACATCTTGTTGCCACGGTCGTTGTCCTATAGATGAACCGGGCCTACATATGGAATTGGTAGTGCTGCGCGACTTCTGTGCGCCTGTCGACCCTTCTACCGAAACATAGAAGTGTCGCGGATCTTCCTCCTGTTGTCACGAATGCTCACAAGTGGCACCATCCAGAGTCGCCATCTTCCAGCTATAAACCACAGGCGCCGCTCGCCCATAGGAACTTCAAACCGCGATAGAAAAAAAGGAAAGCGATGCAGTTCGCTGCTGCTCTTCGCACGCTCAACAAGTGTGTCATCTACCGGCCGGCGCCCGCTGCTCTCTTTTCCTCCGCACGCCAACAGTGTACAAGTGACGAATTGTACTGTTTAGGCTGGGACGGCAGACCACTGCGCAGTAGCCTCGGCAAAGGTGATACAGAGTGGCGATGGCGAGAGGAGGAAGAAGAGAACCGGGAAACAGAAGACTACCGAAAATACTATGAAAAGAACAAGCCGTCGCCACTTTCCATGGTGGAGTTAGTGGACACGCGGAAGCCGATCACCCGAGCGATGGACCACGTGGACGACGAAAAGAAGGTGTTTTTACTGGTGAGGGAGACGGTGGACGATGCTCTGCGGCGGGCGGAAGAGATGTGGTGGGCGGCTAAGGTGAGGGGCGATCCCGACTCGCCGCAGGCGAGAGCGCTCGCCAGGATGCTTCGCGAAAGATATAACAGAGAGGAGCATAAAGCTAATATCGCCCAATAAAAGCCTCAAGTTCTGTCGACCTAAATTGCTGCAAAGAAATGTAATGATTATGGATGCTTTAATTGACCTATATGGCTATACATATATATATATATATATATGGGAAATTTACCTACGTACCATTTTATAACATCCTATTTACATATTTAACACATAAAATTTTAATATTACATGCATATCACTCTATATTATTTTAATATCAAATGTAATATTAAAGTTTTAGGTGTTAAATATGTAAATAGAATAGTATTAGGTGTTATGCAGCTTATACGTGTGCTAAAGATTAGTTTTGGGACGATTTTCTTATATTTTTAAAAATATTTTTTTAGTAAAAATTTGTTTAAACTTTCCGCAAATAATAAAAAAATCGTCCCAAACGAAACCTAAATTAACAAATAATTTGTTGACTTATACAGGACTAGAACATGAATGGCCTTCTTCTTCACCTAGGTACGGTCTCCCACGAAGGAAAGTGATTAGTGGCGGCTAATTTGTCGTTGGGCTCTTCCTCAACTTAGCATGGAGCTTAATTAAATGAACTAATTATGTTGAATAAATTTTAATTTTAATTTTTAATACTGATCGTTATTAAATTCAAAATACCTTTTATATTTTATTTTTAATATTTTGCATACCAACTTAAGCTTCATTCATATTATTGTACTATTAAGAAAACAAAAATTGTTGCATTTAATAGCAATGATTTAAAAGCCACTACTATTAAATCCCTTCAGCCATGTTAAATATGTTATCAAAAGTGGCGATTTAAACCTCTGTCTAATATTTTAGTAAAGTCTTATATTCCCTCTTTGATTGCTTTGTTGGCCTCAACATGACATCTTCCTCGACCTAATCGAGTGATCCCACCCTCTCTCTCATCCATATGCCTAACATTCCAGCTTGTTCACTCAAATCGAGATATCTCTGTGAAGACACGAGCGCCACACGCGGCTCGGCACGTGATCCGCCAGCCAATCAGATCAAGGAGCCTCTCCACCAACTGGTGTACAGCACTCAGACTGTCACCAACGGCCACTAACGGCCCGCTATCATTACACATCCCATTTACTCTATATATGGTGTAATCGAGAGAATGGCAATTTATATGAAAAATGATTGTTCATCATCTTCTTGCTTAAGCTTTTCTTTCTCTTGTTACTAACGTTGTGCAGGTTTATCATGGTATCAGAGCCAAAGTATCCGTCTCTCTTCGTCGCCATGGCCGAGCAAGAATCGTCCTCCACCGCACCTCCCTCTTCACTTCTGGCCCCGAGACCAGAACCCATCTCAAACGAGATCACCATTCCAGCTTCCCTCAAGTTCCTGATGACGAACTTGAAACTTCTTATTCCCAATCAACTTACCAGCGAAAACTACCCCATCTGGCGACACCAGATCCACCAACTCTTCGCTGCGAATGGCTACGACGGACATCTGTCCGGCAGCATCATCAAACCAACTATTCTTCCCACCGGAACAAACTCTACAGAGGTCCTCACATGGAACCTCATTGAACAAAATATCGTCTCCGCCTTACTCTCCACAATTCCCCTGCTGTTCTGCCCTACATTCTCACTCTCAAGTCTGCCAGCGAGATCTGGGCCACGCTCGAACTGCGCCTCCAGCAGACCAACCGGTCGCACATGATACAACTCAAAAATGAGCTATACCACATTCAAATGCGGGATCTCTCCATGATGCAATATCTAACCAAGATCAAGTCTCTCGTGGACAACATTGCTGCAGCCGGTCTCTCCTTGACCCCGAAGAAATCATTCTGCATATCCTGAACGGGCTACCGCCCTCTTACAATGCATTCAAAACGTCCATCCGCACCAGCCAACTACCAATCATCATGGACGTACTCTACACTCAGCTGTGCAGTGAGGAAATACACCAGCAATCCGAGCTCAATCGGGAAATCACCCCGACATCAGATAATGCGGCCTTCTACGCCTCCCGTAACAATGCTCCTCTCGGCAGATCTCTTGCTCGAATCTCCAAGGGAAGAGGAGCTCCTTTCAGATAATGTCTCTCGGTCAATCGCTCGACCAATGATTCCACCCGACCTACCTGCCAAATATGTAGCAAGCAGGGTCATGTCGCCTCCACGTGCTGGCATCGTTTTAACTCCTCCTATAATTCAGGATCAAACTCCACACCTCGGGCGCTATATTCCAGTCCCTCTTCCACTTCATCCAATGAGTAGGTCTTGACTCAGGTGCTACAGCACACCTCACCCCAGATGTGAGACCTCGTTCCCTTACTGTTCCTCTCTAACTTGGATTTTCCTCCCAGGATCGTCCGGGACGATATTGAGATCGTCCAGGCCGATCTGTACTGTTCAAAATACCGTCTTGAGAATAGTTATAGGAACCGTCCAGGACGATCGGGACGATCGATTTTGGTCTGATCGTCCCACGACGATTTGGCGATCGGCCGGGCCGATCAGCCTAATGATATAAGAAAATCAGCTCGTTTTGAGGAGAGAGAAAATCATTTTAAAACAAAATATCTGATTTGAGGAGAGAGAAAGAGAAAGGGAAAAGATGAAAAGCTTGGTTTCAGAGGCCGCGGAGCGCTTTTCGTCCGACGCCGCTGTTGGGAAAAGTGAAGATCTCGTGGTAAGGACTCCGAATCCTATTTCTGTTTTCAGAGATATTGAGTTTTGACCGAGTTGTGCATTGTTTTGTGTTTTCGTAGTCAAATTTTGGACATGATTTCGATTTGACACAACTTTCATCGCACAACTTTTGGTATGTTATAGATATGATTATTGTACACGATTTGAGTATTTTCTGCGATGATTTTACCGGTCGGAATTGATTATACACGATTTTAATCGAATAGAAAAATATCAGGACTTGATTTGATTTGGATTCTATAGAATAATAGTCTTGTATTGATGTCGTGAATATTCTACTGTAATTTGGAAGAAATTGGAATTTGTGCCTTTTTGCAGGATTTTTGTGTAAATTTGACAGACTGTCGTTACTCTGCCCGATTTTCGTAGATTTTCGGATTTGTTTGGAATTGATAGATTAGATTGATATGCTTATGATTATTGATATGATTGTTATAGATTGCTTTAATATTGATTATTGAACTGATTATTGATTGATTATTGATACTGGAACACACGTATAACCTGGTTGAACATTGGTTGAAGATAGAATTAGTACGCAGGATCCGACACAATCTCAACGGCGAATGGCAACTCCCTTTCAATCCACAACACCGGCCAAGGCTTGCTTCCCCTCCCTGACTCGACTCGTAAGCTCTACCTCCATAAAATTCTTCACGTCCCTCTTCTCTCTCACAATCTTTTATCCATCCACAAATTAACTTCTGATAACAATTGTTCCATTTTGTTCGATTCCACCGGCTTCGTCATTAAGGATCTCTTGGACAACACAATACTCCTTCGTGGACATTGCCGTGATGGTCTCTACTCTGTTCCCTCCTCTCCGACCAGCAATTTTCGCGCTCTGCACTCCACCACCACTTCAGCTATCTGGCACGCACGGCTTGGTCACCCCAACATCAGGAAACAACAAAGCCTCTCAAAAATTTTTCCTTCTTTAAGTATTCCATATGTTTCTAGTTTATGTGTTTCGTGTAATGTGGCCAAAAGCAATAAATTATCTTTCTCTCTTAGTTCTTCCCGTGTAATCAAACCATTTATGCTTATACACACTGATGTTTGGGGTTCGTCTTTCTTCAAAAACTGGCTATCGTTATTACATCATCTTCATCGACGATCATACACGCTTCACATGGATATACTTAATGCTTACAAAAGTTGAAGCATTAACCAATTTCATACATTTTAACAAACTAATTCAAACCAAATTCAATTCAAAAATACAAACGTTGGGCTCGGACGGCGGCGGCGAGTACACAAGCCAACTGTTCAAATCCTACCTAGCCAACCACGGCATCACTCATCAAATTTCATGCCCCCACACCCCTGAGCAGAACGGTACAGCAGAGCACAAACATCGTCATTTGTTAGAAACCACTCGGGCTCTTCTGTATCACGCTAATCTTCCACATTACCTCTGGGCCGACGCCCTTCTCACTGCCACCTACCTGATAAACCGTTTACCTTCCAACAGCATCCAAAATCAAATCCCATATCAATTACTCTACAATCAACTTCCCAACTACTCCTACCTTCGGACCTTTGGATGTTTTTGCTTCCCCTGGTTACAACCTACAACACTGTCCAAGCTACATCCTCGATCACACCAGTGCATCTTTCTCGGTTATTCACCCACACACAAAGGATATTGCTGCCTTAATCTCCGCACCTCCAAGCTTCACATCTCGCGGCATGTTGTCTTCCATGAATCGGTCTTCCCGTTTCGAACCATAATCCCATCCCCACCTTCACCACCTTCGTCGTCTCCCCTATATACCTCACCATCCCTCCTTCTCCCAATCTCGACCACCATCACACCACCTACACTTAACCCCCCCACCACCACTATTTCAACTATACCTCCTAACCCGTCAACTTCATCACCTTTACCTTCTCCTCCGCAATCCTTCAATTCCCCAGCACCTACTCAACCGATCACCAACCCATGCCCTCACACATTCATTCATCCAATGCAGACCAGACTTCGATTTGTCATCCACCGCCCCAAACAGATACTCGACCTCCTTACCCTCACCAATGTCCCCTCTACACCTTCCACCTACAACCAAGCCTCCCAATCCCCCCACTGGAGAGCTGCCATGTCCGCTGAATTCATGGCCCTTCAAAAACAGGGCACCTGGTCCCTCGTCCCACCTCCCTTGAACAACACTGTTCTAGGATGCAAATGGACATTCAAACTTAAACACAACCCAGACGGCTCCGTAGAACGGTACAAAGCGAGACTCGTGGCACAAGGATTCAACCAGGAATTCGGCATCAACTACCGAGAAACCTTCAGTCTGGTTGCCAAAATGCCCACTATCAGGATCCTTCTCCTCATCTCTCTGCACTTCGGTTGGCCAACCCTACAGTTCGACATTTTGAACGCCTTCCTCCATGGAGACTTAAAGAGGACATTTATATGCAGCAGCCG